TGTAATTAATTATTCTGTTTATTCTCATTACTTTTAATCACAATTAAAGGCACACTTGGCCATTTTGCTTGCTTTTAGCACCCCCTAGTGTCCATTATTAATTGTCTGTGGTTAAACGAAAGTGAAACTTATCTCCTCGCTGAGCAATCGTCTTTTTAACACCTTAATCTAACAGCTGAAATGTCTCTCCAGCCTTCATTAGTGTCTACAGCAGTGATTCATCACTAAATTACACAAATCTGCTGTGTTCATGATCTAAAACATGCAGGAAACATGCTGAAAGCAGACTGCAGCATCGGGTATGTCAGCTCAATTTTTTCCAACAGGAAGCACAGTCTGAAGTTGCAAATGCGAGATTCCGGCCACAGGGGGCAGTGGAGGTCTGAATGGCATTTCATTAACCATGTGAAGGGTCATTTTAGCACATACTGGCTCATGAAAATGATTTTAAAATAGGAAAAAGTTGTATAGCATGGCTTTAAATGTGAATAAAAAGCAGCAACTTCAAATTATGACTTTTTCTATCAATGTGATAAAAGTTGGAACAGATGAACTCATTAACTGTTTCAGCTTACATAAAATACAATCACATAAAGTAAAGACATAAAATGGACCATAAAACGAGACCAGTCAGCTTCTGAAAAACACCAACTGCCAGAGGCAGAAAAGCAGATGAGGGCGTAATCAGGCTTAAGTGTGTTAAACTGAATGTGAAACAAACTCTTTTTCCACCTAATGATGAAATAGTTGGGTGTGTTTTCAAGTTTGAACTAGGTTAAAGTGCAGTCAGCCACGCTGGATGGATAAAAGCTCGGGGAAACAGTCATTAGGTTGTAGAGAGAAGCAGAGACCATGCTGCAATGGAGTAAAATCATCACTTCCTCAAAGAGAATCGCTCACGTCCTTTTTCAAAGGAGACATTCTGACGAATCAGAAATAACTGGAGGAAGTAACCACCACTTAGGTGGGGAGGCAGTGTAATGAAAAGGCTTGCATTTGTGTTTTAGAGGCTGATCCTGCTCCAGTGGTGCATGCTGCCTCTAGTGGAGACACTTAGTAATCTGGGAAGTGGTGGATCTGCTACAGTGCAGCCTGACCTCTGGTGGTAAACAACAGTACTACACAGAGCCTTTTACATGTTTACACTGAATGTGATCAACACAGATGGGCATTATTCAAAGTCTTTCTACATAGAGTCACTAAAATAAAAAACTCCAACCAGCTTCAAATATAAAACTCAGGTTTTATGGACATCATTTTCATCATCAAACTTTGTTTACAAGGCACTTTCATCAATCACGAAGATGGCCAAAGTGCTGTTCATTGCAGAAGGAAGTTTAAATGTAATGAGATATGGAAATAAATAGCTGGATATGATCGCTAAAACACACAAAGTAAAACTGTTACAACAGCAAGACTAAGTAGAATAATAAAAAACTGCTGCTTTCACTGCACATGATGCAAAAAGCTAAATGACATTTTCAGATTATTTTGAAGATCACAAATGACGCAGCTGTTTAGATGCATAATGACCACCCGGAGGCCCTGGCTGGCTGGCCAAATGGAAGATGGAGGCACTGCACATCTGACAAGTGAGATGGAGCCTTTAAAATCAAATACAATAACAAACTGGGAGCCAGAGCATGGTGGCTAATGGGTAATATGAATCTTGTTTTTAGTTCCTGTTATGAGCCTAGCTAAAGAGTTCTGTAGCACCTGTAGGCTAGCGACCGAAGTATACTCTCGATAGGATTGGCTTGATCTTAGAGAGACGTCTTGAGTGAAAAAACCATGATTTGATTGTGTCATTTATTGGACTGTCGAAAGTAATTCCTCAGTTTTTACTCCCAATTTTTTAACAACAGTTATACTAAAGGGGCCAGTACTGGGAAATCACCAGGGCGGGAGGCATGAGGGCCCGACATCCGCAGGTGGGTGATGTGCTTACAGCCCAACACTGTGCAGGGCATTTGGTATGTTTGGAACACCACGACTGGCAAATTGGCCATTGATGCCCTGTGCACTACACAGTTTAAAGCAGGCTCACATTGAGAACATGTGACAAATATGTGTCAGGGTCTGGAGACACCATGGAGAACGGTCTGCTGTCTGCAACATCCTCCAGCACGACCAGTTTGGCAGTGCATCAGTAATAGTGTGGGATGCCATTTCTTTGGGGGCAGCTCAGCCCTCCATGTGCTCTCTGAATATAGCACGACTGCCATTAGGTACCGAGATGAGATCCTCAGACCCCTTGTGAGACCATGCTGGTGCCGTTGACCCTGGGTTTCTCCTAACTCAAGACAATGCTTGACCTCATGTGGCTGGAGTGTGCCAGCAGTTCCTGCAAGATGAAAGCATTAATGCTATGGACTGGCCTGCCCGTTCCTCACACCTGAATCCAATTCAAGTCACATCTGGGACATCAAGTCTCGCTCCATCCGCCAATGCCACAATGCACTAAAGAATATCCAGGAGATGGCAGCTGCTTTAGTCCAGGTTTGGGAGGAGGAGATCCCTCAGGAAACCATCCACCACCTCATCAGGAGCATGCCCAGGCTTTGTAGGAGGGCCACACACACAATTCTGAGCCTCGTTTTCACGTGTTTAATGGACATTACATCAAAGCTGGATCAGCCTGTAGTGTGTTTTTCCCCATTTAATTTTGCATGTGACTCCAAATCCAGACCTCCATGGGTTGATGAATTAGATTTACATATATATCACACACACACACACACACACACACACACACACACACACACACACACATATATACATATTTATATATAGCACCAGGATGCTCTAATAAACCCATCATTAGCTTCTGGTTTGAAGTGTGATCGGTTATGTGCCTTCTAATAAAGACATGATAGTTTATCAAACAACTTGTAACCTGTTAATACAAATGCTACACAGTTAAATGGAGGCAGGCACCTTAAACCAAAAATAAATTGTACACAAAAATGAATTGTGCTTACAAATATTTCCAGCTAAAATAGTCACTTTTTGGCTTAGTAACAAGCTCATCCCCTGAAGAGGAGGAGTGTGTTTTTTAACACTGCAACGTAGCGGGAAATCATTGGCGTTTGTAACACAAAAGCAAATGCGTAATAAAAAATCGCCATCATTACTGTTGTTGCTACACCTATGGATACGATGTTAGCAGCTAACCAGAGGTAAGTAGCTTACAGAGGCGACTCTTTGTTCTCCGCCATGACGTACTTCCTTTTAAGGTTCATGAGCATCGCTGTTGTGCTCCCGTGAAAGGAGAGTTTCACTTTGCACTCTAAGTTGCTTCCGTTTTGTCTTTGTCTCCCAAACTTTGAGCTATATTGCTGACTCGCGATGATGTCTTCTTTCTCCTTAACTTAGCTCATCTGGCTCATCTGAACGCAGCCCAGTGTGTTCCATTTTTTATCTTATGTCCTTAAGCGTGTGTGTGTGTGTATGTGTGTGTGTGTGTGTGTGTGTGTGTGTGTGTGTGTGTGTGTGTGTGTGTGTGTGTGTGTGTGTGTGTGTGTGTGTGTGTGTGTGTGTGTGTGTGTGTGTGTGTGTGTGTGTCAGACGATGAGTGTAATAGGGGGTATTATTGTCATATTGCTTTAATATTTATGGGGAGGAGGGAATGTGGGGTCATTTTAATTTGTAAAGCACTTAGAGTTGCATTTATTGTATGAATTGTGCTACATAAAAAAAAGTTTTGATTGATATTCTTTTATTTTTTGATTGATTGATTCTCCGGTGAATCCGATTTGAAGGCTGACCTGGGTGGCCACTACTGCGCATGTGCATTGAGCAGAAGGGCAGAAAGCAGCCGCCGACAGTGCCGCAGCAGGCAAGATTTTAAAAAAATGCTCATAGAATAAACGACGTAGACGACTACATTTTTAGTCAAGTACTATGTTTGTTGACGTCGTCGTGACGAATCGACACACCTTCTCATTCAATGTGTTTTCTTTATTTTCATGACCCTTTACAAAGAGGCCAACAAGTGCTAAACACCTCTGGGAACTCCTTCAAGTCTGTTGGAAAAGCATTTCAGGTGACTCACTCTTGAAGCTCATCAAGAGAATGCCAAAAGTGTGCAAAGCAGGGCAAAGTGTGACTATTTAGAAGAAAATAGAACATAAAACATGTTTTCAGTTATTTCACCTTTTTTGGTTAAGTACATAACTCCACAAGTTCATTCATAGTTTTGATGCCTTCAGTGAGAATCTACTTATGTAAATGGTCATGAAGATAAAGAAAACACATTGAATGAGAAGGTGTGTCCAAACTTTTGGCCTGGACTGTATGAATAAACAGCATAATGTGAGAAAAGATTGTTAAACAATGTGCTTTAGCTCTGTCGCGCATCTAAAGGTACATATTTTTGAATGAGAGGCATTGCCTATGCAGTATTACGGAAGCAGGAAGAGGGGCTTAAAAGTGCAATACATTTTTCTGCCTCTAGGAAGTTCCTTAAAAAACTCTGGGTTTCTGCTTTAAAGTAAAAGAAGTTAAGAGCTATCCAGGCTTTGACATCCAATAAGCAGTATAGAAGAGACCGAACTGAATCTGTGGGATCCTTCTGCATGCATAAAAGTCAATCTTTAAATGTATCCTGGTTCAGTGATGTCCAATCCTTATCATAACATGTTTTTGTTGTCTCCCAACTCTAAAAAGACTTCTTCGATGGTTTGTGCACCTGTTCAGCAGGTTATCAAGCTTCACAGAAGTCTGTTAACCAGCTGCTGATTAAAATCTGGTGTGCTGAAGCAGAGCAACCTCCAAAATGAGCAGGATGGCACCCGTGAGGACCAGGATTGGACAACACTGACCTATGTGCTCCTGTTTTCAGTCCTGAAAGCTGAAACACCAGTTAAACACTGCCTCTACAAGTCACATGAGCTGAAAAACTTTAGAATTATAGGAAGCAGTAAATTCTAAAACTTGCATCAGCAACAAAACGCTGTGCAATTATGATTGCAAATTACCAGGAAATATAATTTACTAACCTGTTCTCTAAACTGCTCCTGAGACAGGCAGTCAGTCACGTTGATACAACCCAACAGGCATCCAGTGGGATAGTCTTTAGGAAAATTTGGCTCTGCAGACAGAGAGGAGGCGCTGAAATGCTGCGCTTGTAACACATCTGTAGATAAAACTAGCCTGTTTGCAAATCAGGAATTAAAATGTTTAACGCTTAAATGTGGAAGTCGGTGTCTAAATGGGCTGTGGAGTTTAAAGATTAGACAGAAACAACAGTGCGGGAAAACTCTTGCATTTTCCACTGGAATCACAAAAAAAGCCATGCCGGGAGTGGCGTGTAACTGTGAAAGTCGTGCAAATGCCATGCAAATTTTCTTGCTGCAATTTAGTCTCAGGATGTCTTAATTTGTTCACAACTTGGTCTCAAACCTCCCAGAGTCGACTCCTGTTTCTCACTCATTCACACTGGAGTAAAGTAAGGCAAGAGTGGTTCCTCTCTAGTTCCAGACGCCCAAAGCATCTGTGATTGCTTTGGGAAAAAGTTTATAATGGAAGTTTTTAATACACGTTTATAATTTCAATATCGTAAGAGAGAGCCATGACGACAGCCCCAGCCCAGTGAGACGCTGGTTTACGAGCCATAAAACCATACAGCTCATAAAGTTTTAGGGGAGGTTTCCTCTATTGTTTATAACAGGTAACATAGAACATATAACAGAGCGTTGGACGCTGAAACATCAGACTTAAGCCCCCTTCAGACAGGCCATGAAAAACGGAAATGTTCCGGACTCTGTCCGTAAGACCTTTTTGTCTGAATACAAACATCCGGATAACGTGTTCCGGAACTAGGACGAAGCCCCTAGTAACAGGTCCGGACTTGTTACGGACAGGGTGGCTGATTCAGACTGGTGAGGTAAAGTTCCGGACAAGAGGGAGGGGGAGGAGGAGGGGACCGGGGGGCGCTGTGCACACCTAGATAGCCCGCTGCTGTAGCATGCGGCGAACCACGGCAGCTCGCCTCCTACGGTACCGCCTAGATGCGCGACGGAGCGCTTCACACCGCTTCAGTGATTCCTTTAACCATTGAGCTTCATCATCCAGGTCTCTTATGTGTCTTCGTGTGCGCAGAATTATGCTTAATTATGCCTCGTGATTTTTATCTTGAGAGGCGCTATAGAAATGATATTTTCTTCTTCTTCTTCTTAACATGAGTCCGACTCTCTCCCCCCACCACCACCCCGCCGCCGTCAGACATCTGGAACTTTTCCCTGCTGTGTGAACGCAGCCGAAAGGACAAGTTCCGGTACAAAAGTGGTGTGTCTGAAAACACAGTTCCGGTTAAAACCCGGATTGAATTGTCCGCAAATGTTCCAGAATGTCTATCTGAAGAGGGCTTAAGTCTTTACCTCCATCATAACTACATGACTAAACCATTACCGGTGTAATCTATTCATACCTTTCCTGTAGCTGTGGCGGTACATGGCTTCCACCTCAGCAATCTCCTGAGCAGTGGGTTTCTTGGCTGCGGCAGCAATCCAGAGTCGCCCTCGGTGTGATGTGTACCAGGTCCGACCTTCTACCCTGCACACAAGCACAAAAACAGCATCATGTCAGTAACATCCCAAATCACTAATTCTGACCCGTTTAATACATCCTTTCCTGGCATTACCTCTTGATGCCTCTAACCAGCAGCGAGGCCCATGGCTGATGCATGCTGAGGCACCAGCCTCCATCAGAAAGCTCCTGAAGCTCTTTGTCTTGTAGCCGCAGCCGACGACGCTCCTCTCCTGCTTTCTGCTCCACCAAACCTTTTCTCTGCTCTTTGGGTCGTTTGGTGTCTTTATTGCCTCCAATATCCACCCACTGTGAAATGTACTTATTATCATGAAGCAGAAACGCCACTAGTGACAGAATTCATCGTCTAATGGGTTACCTCTGGTGCAGACTGGGTAATATTTGGGTTGATCAGCTCTCTGAGGTTCTGGTCTTCACCTTTTCTTCCAGAATATCCCGGCGATTGTGACGTTGGCCCACTGTTCATAGCTTTGAGCGTCTCGTCCAACCTGAGAGTAGATGCAAGCATTTAAGAATAGAGCGCGTGGCCTTGCTTTGATCGCAATCAGATCGTCTCACTTGTTATAGTAGTCGGTCAGGTCGGCTCCTTCAGCAATCACTTGTCTTCCAGCAAAGTCCAGCGTGATCTTTCGGTCTTTGCGAGACGCATGGCGAAGTTCTCTCAGCTCCTCCTCCTTCTTCCTCAACTGTGCTCGCTCGTTGGGGGCCAGCCACTGGTTGGAGTCAGTGGAAAAGTAATCCGACTCATCGTCCAGAACCTGCGTTCTTCTGACACTGGAGTTGAAAAGGCCAGTAAATAAAACAGGTAGGTTGGAATCATTTCTACAGCAGCGATGTGCTTTAGCGCACCTGTTCCTGTCATACTCCAGCAGTTTGTCTTTGTGCTGGACTGCCTTCTCCAACCCGGCTTTGATCTTGGCCTCCTGGTGTGGCAGTAGTTCTCTTTCACCAAAATCTGCCACCAAAATATTACCAACGTTAATACAGATCCAAGCAGCTTAGATTTCATTGAAGATAAACGATTAGTTGCAGGTTTCACCTCCCATCAGCTTCTTTCTGAGTTTCTGACTTTTGTTGGAGTCGCGTTGCAAGACCTCCTGCTCTTCTTTAGTGCAAACCTGAAAAAGCAACAACCTTAAAGGACACTAAACAAGGATGTTTAAATATGAAGACTTACAATTAGACCGATAGGAACTTCCTTACCAGGTTTCCACAGAAGAGGCAGGGTCCCGAGCCCTCTTGCTCACACACGATACGGCCACAGCTGAGGCAGTTGTTGATGAGTGCGTGTTTTTGTGCGAGGCACTCACACGAGTGTCGGCCCGGGAGTAACACGGCCAGTTTGTCCTGGCCCTCTTTCGCGTAGAGATTGACAAACTTTGTTTTCTTCTTTGATGAGGAGGAGTTACTGTTCTCCTGGGCCTGAAACAGAAATTACGTGCATAACTCCTCTTAAATGCCTGGACAAACAGACGTTTTCAGAGCTTAGACTATATTTTGTGTGGAAAAGTACACATTTCAGCATCACATTTAGGATAATTGACTCAGGTTCAACAGCTGCTAAAAACAGCACCGACTTATATTTTGAGACACAGTTAAGGTGTAAACTCAGAATCCAGCATCTTATTATCATGCTACACAGACACTAGCCCATCTGGTTTGTGCATAATTACGTCAGCTGTTTATCAGAAATACAAGGAGCTGAAACACACCTGAAGGTGCTCTAAATGTTGTTCTGAAGTAAAGCAGTAATTATATTCTCTACATTATTGGCTCCCGTTGAGCTGATTCCCAATGAGTCGACCGATGGAGTGAAAGTGAAGCAACTAACGAGTGCTCATCATAGGCGACTCGCAAAGACAGCTGATTGGTTTAGAAGTTCATTTGAATGCTGACATGCGCTCACCCTCATCAGATCGATGGGAGTTTTAACTGCCTCGGGTTCAGGCTCTGGTCGGCTCAAACACATCACTTCCTGTTTGTTACGCCCTTTGCGTTTGGACTTCTTCTGGGCATCTTTGGTCATCTCTTGCAAATCTGGGGGAAGAAAAAAAATATTTAAAAACCACAATCAAATTTAAATGATAGAGAAATTTCATACTTCAGATGTCAGTTATTTTTTTGAAGGTGTGGTTCACTAAAAAGTTGTTTTATAATTATTATTTATTTTGTGACATTGTAGCTCAAAACACATTTCCTTTTGAGGACAATAAAGTTTACCTTACATTACTTTACCCTAGTTGTGGAGATAAAAGATCCATGCTGCTAGTCAGCGGTAGAGTTGTGGTTTAGCATCCAGGAAACAGCAGAAAGCATCTCGACTAGTAGAAGCTAACTGTTAGCATTAGCAACTCCACTGCACAGCAGAACTCCTTCAGGCTTGTGTTATTTATGGAGATAAAGCATCAACGTTGCAAAGCCAACTTAGTCAGTGGTAGAGTTGTTTTGCTGTTAGCCAATCAGAGGAGACATGTCCAACTATCAAGAAGTAAGAGACCATATCCTGCCGTCTGATCTGACTCCCAGATTACGACTTACAAGGCGTCCGTTCCTACTACAGACCACTGCAAATATGAGTGAACCACACCTTTACGTTTTTTCCTACTAGAACTGAGAAGCAGATTGCCTCACACTTTGTCAAAATACAACAACAGCAGATGTTTATTCTCCTACCTGTTGTTGAACCTGACTCTGTAACGAGGCTAAGACCTGTTGTATCTGTGGTCTGCCTTTGGCTTTTCTTCCATCTGCTGAGGAGCTCATCTATAAACAGCCCTTTTCTGCCATCCGTGCCCTGCAGAAGATCTCCCACGTACTCCTGAATCTCCTCAGGTGTTTCAATGGCTAGAATGTACCTAGACAGAAAGATTACCCAATCAGGTAAATAATTCGAACCTATTGAGAAAAGAATGGCACACGATCCCTTTAGTCATTTACATCAGTATGGATTTCCAGCTGTGGTTGGCTCATAGGGATGATACCGATATTAAGATCACTTTTATGGCCGATAACCGATATTTGTTGATACCGATAAACTGACATGAATGCTTCTAAAATCAGCAGATTTTGTATAGAATGAAAATTATTAAAGCTGAATTTACGTTACTATGTACACACAACACTCACGTTTACGGTTCTGAGATGATTTCATTCACTGTCACATGACTAAACAATTACACATCACCCCCACCCCACCCTCTGAAACAGGCAAACAAATGGAGACGAGATGGAAAAAAATATCGGTTGTTAATATTGGCCCGGTTTTATTTATCAAACCGATACCGATATGTTAAAAAATGGCAAACGTCGGCCGATATTGATATTGATGCCAATATATTGTCCATTCCTAAAAAATCCAGAACCTCATAACCTCTTCAGCAAGCTCCCTAGAGACATTTGATTACACACAAGCTGCAGGTGACCAGCTCAGGTTTGTGTGTTTGGGCCGCAGCAGGTGAAACGTTCCTAATTTAAGTGAAATCGTTTAATTACATTGTTTGTTACTGGGGCACTCTAGTCAGCTTGTTTGAACTAAATATTAATTGAAATGAATGAAAATTTAACGAATGATTATTCATTCTTTTAAAAATGTAATTGATGGTGATAACTGGATCGAGTGGCCTCTGGCAGGGAGCAAATGCTGCCTCCTCAGAGTGCGTCCAAATGCAGCAGCGATTCACTCCATTTCCTATTCATAAAAGAAAGAAACCCAGTAGTCCATGTTCAGAAAAAAACATTTTGCTTAAATAAAATACCACGATGGTGGGCACCACAGGGAAACAAAGACGAGGCTTCTCTTTAACACTTAAACCGTGTTTAATACGAGCCGTTTACACGTCACTCTCCCAAACTACAAATACAAAATTAAAAACAAAAATCTAAATTTCTCTTCTAGCAAACATATGTGTTGTGCTTGTATTTTTTAAAAAAAGAGTGTTTTGGGCTTCTTCAGTGCTCGGAAATCAGTCCGTGCGTCATGACGTCACATGCACAAATAAATAGTCCATCATCTTTTTTTTTGGACAGACGATTGGCGGTGGGAAAAATTATACACATCGTCCAAGCCTATTGGCTCATAAATATTTCATTTATGTATCAAGAACTTGCAGTTTTGTGTAACACTGGTTCACTTGTTTAGTGTTTCTGAAACGTTTGTGTACAAAACAAACACTTTTTTTCAAAAGCTAAATCTTCACACAAACCTGTAAAACCTTTTGTATTTAACTAAAACAGGAAAACTCTTAATAGATGATAAATAAGACCTTATATTTTTTTAAGATTAATGGAATGAGGTTGGAAAGATGAGCGAAGAGAAGCTAAGGAAAAATTTATGAGATCTGGACAGATGCAAAAAGAATAAAGTTATCAAATTAGTGACACTTGGATATAATACAGTTTGTTCACAAACAAACTTTAATTTAACAGCAGAGGCATGAAGTCTGAAATATGAACTAGAAAGAAAAATGATAAACTTATAACAAAGCCTTAGCAACACTCTGGTAATCATCAGTGTCAGAATTAACTGTTTTGGGGTTAAATGAAGTTATTAGACATTTTAAACACTGGCCTTATCTTCCTCTTACATCTAAATCCCTTACAAATGAATAAAACTAGGGCTGAATATTGGATTATGTTGTGTGTGTGTGTGTGTGTGTGTGTGTGTGTGTGTGTGTGTGTGTGTGTGTTTCACTTAAAATTGAAAACGGTTTGTAGCAAACTCAAAAAAATTACACAAAAGTGTTCATTTTTTTCCCCTTCCTCAAATTTTTGCTAAGAAAAACCACAACTGCAAATGACAACTTTTCTTTCTCACAGTTATTTTTCTGAAGGTTGACATCAACAGACACACATAAACGGTTAGCTAATAACCCGCTAATACAGCGGTCAGCCAGCCGTAACATTAAATACAAAGAAACAGATGAGTTTTATACACTTAAAGGTCGTTGTCGTCATCTTCATAAAACAAAACGTGTAACAACTCTTAAGTTGACCCAAGCTCCAAAGAGCCCCACCAGGCTAGCTGCCTGGCTAGCCAGGTGACAGTAAATAAAAGTGACATTTAAAATGACTTACTGAACGATGTCTTCACATGCTTCCAAGCCGAATTTGTGGTGTAGCTGGTCCACACACCACTGCAACAAAGCTTCCGACATCTTATCGATACAGTGTCAGGTCAAAGAAATTAAACCTAAACTTATGGTAGGATGTTTCTACTCGGACAAATATAAAAGACGCACACCCGGTTTACAGGATGCGTGTCAGCCACAGCTGGTCGCAATGAATGTTTCCTTTAAATCAGAACCAGAATCAGAAGTCAGAATTAAAATTATCTGGGATTGTTTTCTTGTGAATATAAGAAACACATGTTACAAAATTACAGATGTTTTATATGGTGACAAAGGATGCGCTAGTTTAAATCTGCCGCTAGATGGCAGTATTGTGCCATAAATTATTGTGCCTTCAAAAGTACTTTACCATTTGTTTTCTGTAAATTTACAGTTTTGAGTTGTTATCTCGGGATTTGACATGAGGCATGATGTGGATACGTTTTATATTCAACACTGTAACCGTATTTCTCTTGAATTTTTTTTTTGCATAACATATTTAAATTGAATATAAAACAATTATTGAGTGTAATTATTTGACACATCACCAATTATATTTCACATCTTTCTGTATTTTGGTGCAAATAGAACATAAACCACACTCAAAACAAGTGTTTGAAAGCTGTAAGTTTACTGACTATTTCAATGTTTGGTGATTATAGACATAATATAATTAGACACAATTTGAGGTGTCTATGTCAACTGAATTTTCATTTTATTTCTCATGACTTATTTCTGCTTTTACATTATTTTTTATTTTTTATTTATCAAACAAAAACTATTTAGTTCATTCTGAACCAGTGTTTAATAGATTATTTGGTTTGCCTGAAAGACAACTAATAAATAAATAAATAAATCCCCATGGGCTACACCAGAAATAATATCATGGAGGGTTTAAGAAAAGACACAAATTAATTTTACGGAAAACTATTAAACACGATGGTTTATTTCTAGGTTGTTTTAAAATAATCTGTATTTGCTTTATTAGCATCAAAAAGAGTTGAGGGGTGGATGTATTAATTTGTAGCTTAAAGTGACAATGTGTAGTTTTTACCATTAATCTCTGGAAATATCCATCAAAATGTTGTTGAAAATGAATAAAATGGCCCCAGTTGTTGAAAAACATTAGCAGCTTCATAACATATAACCATAAAAATCAGGTCTAAAATACAGGGAGCGGGTCTGAGTCATGATGCCATGCTTCCTTCTACAGGAGCCCGTGAGGACAAAATGCATTTACTGATTTGTAACAAGCAGTTACAAAACTTACACCATTCATAAATGTTGTTGTTTTACACATTTGCCTCTTCACTTGCTGCCAGTGATGAAAATGAGTCTGAGTCTTGTCATTTCGCTGGAGGTTATGCTCCTGGGTATTTTTGAACCTAATGGCCATCTGTTGGTAAGGTCTTACTTAAACACATAAATAATTCTTGTTTGCAATGATTCAGGTATGTACTGCCCCCTATTGCCGGGGAAAAATACACAACGTTACTTTAAATAAATTTTAAAAATCTGTGAATGCAGCTGTTGTGCATCTTAAATAAAACACACACACAAAAAAACCTTTTCAAAATACAGTTTCAATTTGAAAAAGATTAAATTTATTAGTTTATTTTTACAGTGAATCAGAGCAAAAGCAACAGGTTCAAACATTCTGACATAAAAGAGAGTGCAGATAATTTGACCATTAACCTCTTAATTATCTCAAACATCTCAAACTGAAAGTAACTGAACAACCAAGTGCTAAGCTTTCTAAATTGAATGCTGGTTATAATGATAACTAACCCTTGGTAAATTAATTTTTAAGTGATACATTCAAATACAGGTTACTGCTGTTTCATTATTGAAATATGTTCTTATTACGATGCTCATTACACCACATGTATTCGGTTCTAGCGAAAGTGATGAAGTCTTTTCAATAAGTGTAGATGTGAAGAACATTTTTATCAACATTAGTGATGTTTTTATACATCCTGTTTACATTCATTAAAGTTCTATAAATGATGAAAAAGGAGAAAATGACAAGTATGATGGACACATTTACAGGTGCTGGCCAGTAAATTAGAATATCATCAAAAGGTTGAAAATATTTCAGTAATTCCATTCAAAACGTGAAACTTGTACATTATATTCATGCAATGCACACAGACCAATGTATTTCCGATGTTTATTACGTTTAATTTTGATATTTATAGGTGACAACCAATGAAAACATCAAATCTGGTATCTCAGAAAATTAGAATATTCTAAAGGCCAATGAAAAAATGTTTGTTTCTCTAATGTTGGCCAACTGAAAAGAATGAACATGAAAAGAATGTGCATGTATAGCACTCAATACTTAGTCGGGGCTCCTTTTGCCTCAATAACTGCAGTAATGCGGCGTGGCATGGACTCGATCAGTCTGTGGCACTGCTCAGGTGTTATGAGAGCCCAGGTTGCTCTGATAGTCGTCTTCAGCTCCTCTGCATTGTTGGGTCTAGCGTATTGCATCCTCCGCTTCACAATACCCCATAGATTTTCTATGGGGTTAAGGTCAGGCGAGTTTGCTGGCCAATCAAGGACAGGGATACCATGGTCCTTGAACCAGGTGCTGGTGGTTTTGGCACTGTGTGCAGGTGCCAAGTCCTGTTGAAAGGTGAAGTCTGCATCCCCATAAAGTTGGTCAGCAGCAGGAAGCATGAAGTGCTCTAAAACTTCCTGGTAGACGGCTGCATTGACCCTGGACCTCAGGAAACAGAGTGGGCCAACACCGGCAGATGACATGGCACCCCACACCATTACTGACGGTGGAAACTTTACACTGGACCTCATGCAACGTGGATTCTGAGCTTCTCCGCTCTTCCTCCAGACTCTGGGTCCTTGATTTCCAAAGGAAATGCAGAACTTGCTTTCATCAGAAAACATAACTTTGGACCACTCAGCATCAGTCCAGTCCTTTTTGTCCTTGGCCCAGGCGAGACGCTTCTTGCGCTGTTTCTTGTTCAAGAGTGGCTTGACACACGGAATGCGACACCTGAATCCCATGTCTTTCATGAGTCTCCTCGTGGTGGTTCTTGAAGCGCTGACTCCAGCTGCAGTCCACTCTTTGTGGATCTCCCCCACATTTTTGAATGGGTTTGTCGTCACAATTCTCTGCAGGGTGCGGTTATCCCTAGAGCTTGTACACTTTTTTCTACCACATTTTTTCCGTCCCTTCGCCTGTCTGTTAATGTGCTTGGACACAGAGCTCTGCGAACAGCCAGCTTCTTTAGCAATCACCTTTTGTGTCTTGCCCTCCTTGTGCAAGGTGTCAATGATTGTCTTTTGGACAGCTGTTAAGTCAGAAGTCTTCCCCATGATTGTGGTGCCTTCAAAACAAGACTGAGAGACCTTTTAAAGGCCTTTGCAGGTGTTTTGAGTAAATCAGCTGATTAGAGTGGCAGCAGGTGTCTTCTATATTCAGCCTTTTCAGAATATTCTAATTTTTTGAGATACCAAATTTGGAGTTTTCATTAGTTGTCACTTATGAATATCAAATTTAAATGTAATGAACATTGGAAATACATTGGTCTGTGTGCATTGCATGAATATAATGTACAAGTTTCACGTTTTGAATGGAATTACTGAAATATTTTCAACCTTTTGATGATATTCTAATTTACTGGCCAGCACCTGTACTCTTTCTATGACTAGAAGCAACAATGACTTCGTTATAGCAACCCTTCAGGTAAAAAAGTCTTTGGAAATGGCTTCTACAAAATTGGGCGCCGACATGAGGATCCCAATGGTGCAGAGGATGGTGAAAAGGGAGAACGCCATGAGGCAAAGCCTGTCAATGACAGAAGCAGCAAATTTCCACTCGTTGCACACTGACTCGTCCTCATCCTGGTCACGGAATCGTTTGGCAATGTAACGCACCTCGTCTAGGATCTTAGCCAGCTCCAGTTCCATGTGTCCCATGCTACAGCTCTGACTCGGGGGGAGGAGGATCTCGTCCTCGCCTGCTCGTCCGATCAGCCGTCCGCAGAGGACCCCGGAGTCAGGAGATGTGGCAGCTGTGGAGCAGTGGAGGCTCTCCAGACCACGGACACCGACGTAAAGCATGTGTCCATTGGACGAGTGAGTGGTGCCGGCGTTGAGGTCCATGCTGGTCAGGCTGCTGCGCCGAGTCTTGTTGTGACAGGCTGACCGCACTCGCTCCTCACCGGGGCGCTTCATCCGCATAAACCAGGCACACCAGTTCAGGAGGATCACACGGGTCTGCCGGGTCAAACGCCAGTAAAAGTAGCCGTCATTCACTTCAAACTTAAAGGTATTCTTTAGCCTTAACGGTTAAAGGTGCACTCTGATGTGTCTCACTTGGTGTGCAATACATCACTGTGAACAATGACAGACTCACCCACGTGGGCATCTTGCCTCCATCAGGGTCGTGGTGGTGATACTGCAGAACCAAAACGGTGGCGATCACCGAAAGACCAACGATGACCATGGTTGTTGCAAAGTACTCAGCTGGGTGGAGAAGGAGAGGAGACACGTAGGAATCAGGAAAGAATAAAGATCATGTCTGAGAAAAGAAGTGCGTAGGAAACAGGTTTAAAATGTTATTTACCGTAAAGGTCAGAGTTCACATGATTCATGTACATGATGGAGATTTTACAACACAACAGAGCTTATTTCAGTTTAAAAAAAAAGAGCTGAAAGGCACTAATTATAAAATGTGGTCATTTCTAAGCCAACAAACCAAATATTTTGAAGTGCTTCTTTAAGAGGATTGTTTCAGAGTGGAAAAATAAAACCCCAGCAAGAACAAAATAACAGTTAAAAGAACTCTAGCAGCAGGGAAACATGTCAATGTTGAACTCTTAAAAAGGCAAAGTTCTTCTTTGGGGGGACTTCTAGATATTTTCTTTACTGTGATTTTACCAGCATCCTTCTCATTTCTGTGCAGAATTTATCTGAGCACCTGTCTTAGTGACAGGCTCTAACCTCTAACCCAAAGAATGAGGCTCCCAGAAATCTTTTCATTCCAATGCTGTCATTCAAAAAAAGCGACTTATCTCTGAATGAAAGAAAAGTAAGTAAGTGCAAACCCCGGATGGATGCCTGAGCTTGGCTGCTCTGTGATTTAAGAGAAACAGTAAAAATGATGACAGAAACGTTCACCCATGACTTCCTACTGATGGTGTTTGACAACCATAGCAGCTGCTTTCAGCTCGAGCCCAGCTTACCTATTAAAGGCACCGAGTCTGATGTGGCGGGCATGATTTCTGCAACCAGCAGCATGAAGACAGTCAGGGAGAGCAACACTGTAATACCTGGGAGGGACACCATAGATCAGTCAGCATAAACGCAATTTAAAGCATTTAGTTACCTTCTTATCTACAGCTCGTAAAAGAAAAACACGAACATGTGTCTGTACAGTATTTGCTGGTTGTTTCATCAAACATCAAACAAAATTAAAACAATCTGAAAAATGCTGCTCCTCCTGAAGCTGAGGTTCGACAATCCGCCAGACCCTCCTTTCCAGAACCCCTGAATAGACTTTACCAGGGAGGCTCAGAAGTGTGATACATCTGTAGTTGGAACACACCCTGCGGTCCCCCTTTTTAAATAAGGGGACCACCACCCCGGTCTGCCAGTCCAGTGGAACTGCCCACGATGTCCATGCTATATAACAGAGCTGCATCAACCAACACAACCCTACAACATCCAGAGCCTTAAGAAAATCCAGGTGGATCTCATCCACCCCTGGGACCTTGCCACTGAGGAGTTTTTTGACCACCTCAGTGATCTCGGCCTCAGAGATAGGAGAGGTCAACTCAAAGTCCCCAGACTCTGCTTCCTCACTGGAAGACGTGTCGGTAGGATTGAGGAGGTCTTCGAAGTACTCTGCCCACCGATCCACAACATCCTGAGTCAGCAGCACACCGTCCCCACTATAAACAGTGTTAGTAGAACACTGATTTTCCCTCCCGAGGCCCTGGATGGTGGACCAGAATCTCCTCGAAGGCATGTGGAAGACTTACTCCATGGTCTCACTGAACTCCTCCCATGCCTGGGTTTTTGCCTCCGCGACCACCCGGGCCACATTCCGCTTGACCTGCCGGTACTCATCAACTGTCTCTGGAGTCCCACAGGCTAAAAAAAACCCTGATAGGATTCGTTCTTCAGCTTGACGGCATCCCCAATGTCAGTGTCCACCAGCGGGTTTAGGGATTGCCACCATGACAAGCACCTACGAGCCTGCAGCCACAGCTCCAGTAGCCTAGACTGGCAAGCCAGACTGGCCATGCTCCATTGACGGCTCTCGGTTGTGGGGCGGGTTCTACCGTTGTCTTTCAAATGATCTCCACATTCCACTGGACAATGAATGTGACATACTCTTGTTTCACTCTGTTGCATCATCCCATCCACCAGGCATATAGAGTGCCCTGATTGGCCCACAAAGCGGATAAAGCTCCGTGATTTGTTCACTAGCAGATAGAGCACTATGATTGGCCCACCATTATGGACCAATCACAGCTCTTTATGTGTTTGAAACCCCTCTAGAGAGCTGTGATTGGCTAGCCAGAGTCCTGGTAGGAGCTGTGGAGGTTCCAATGGAGCATGCCTAGACCAAACTTTGCAAAGCAAGAATTTGGTCTAGTTCACTAGGCTACCAGTCGCCTGCCTCGACAATGGAAGCACGGAACAGGGCCCACTCAGTCGCAATGTCCCCCGCTTCCCCAAAACATTTTGCAAGTTCTGTCGGAGGTAGAAATTGAAACTTCTTTTGACAAGAGATTCCACCAGATGTTCCCAGCAGACCCTCACAATACGTTTGGTCCTGCCGCCGGAGCAGTTCGTAGCCGAGTGTGAAGCAGCTGGGATGAGAATCAGCTCCTCTAAATTCGAGACCATGGTCTTGAGTCAGAAAAGGGTAGAATGCCTTCTCCAGGTCAGGGATGAGGTTCTGCCCCAAGTGGAGGAGTTAAAGTATCTCAAGGTCTCAGGTTCACGAGTGAGGGAAAGTTGGAGTGCGAGATTGAAAAGCAGATTATTGCTGCATCTGCAATGATGCGGGCATTGTACCGGTCTGTCATGGTGAAGAGAGAGCTGATCCAGAAGGCAAAGCTCTCGATTTGCCGGTCGATCTACGTTCCTACCCTCACCTATGGTCACAAGTTTTGGGTAGTGACTGAAAGAATGAGATGTGGATACTAGGGGCCGAAATGAGTTTTCTCCGCAGGGTGGCTGGGCTCTCCCTTAAGGTGGTTTCCCAGGAGCACTACTCAGAGTAACTCGGACCAATGCAGCTCGGCCTAACCACTGCTCCCAAGGGCACGGTTCCCTCTACTACTTTCTCCCCTATTTTTAGTCCTTACTTTGAGGTACCTGACAAGGCTGAGTCGGGCCGGTATTTTGATTCTGGCCACTGATTGGCTAGGAGGTGGAGTCACTGGTAGCTCCGGAGTTTTATGCCTTCTGCTTCACTGCCTGCAGCCATTTCCTGTTTCAGAGTCTGACAAAAAGCCATTAAACTGAGCAAAATGTCCAGCACCATTTCTGTGCTGATTTGTGTTTCTGAGCATACAAGTTACTTTGTATGTGAATTAAATTAAAACTGAGAAAATGTGTTAAGAGAAAGGTTTAACAGAATGGATATTCCTTTTGCATGCAAAAACCTCACAGAGATGATTGAATACTGTAAATGGATGTGTTCCTGTACAAGACTGTTTCAGTTGTGGATTGTCAGGAATTACACCACAGGTTAACAGTTTCCAGTAATTTAAAGTCTGGGATCCATCTAGAATTAACAAAAATAAAATAAACACTTCCAGTGTTGGCAGCTGGGTGTAGAGTGTGAAAACATGTGCCAGGGGCTTTCACACAGACTGTTTGATGTGCATTCCTTTAAACCCTTTCAGCAAAAATATGCATAACAATAAGTCATTCTTTTCAAAACCCTCCTTTGTGACGCTGTCGTCAGAGGGGACGTGTGCTGAGACCAACACGTGTGACACATCTGGCTCTGCAGCACAGCTAATGAAGGAAAACAGCTGCAACCAGTTAAACTAACACTCACTCTTGAACACATACTCTCCCCAACAGGAAAACCCATTTCCATAAAGCCTTCATAATTCATGCTAAAACTAAACTCAACTGTGAAAACTGAGATGAGATTAATCTGTTTTCTCGATTGAGTCAGCTCGGCTCAGGAGGCGACAAAGAAAATGAACGACAAAAAACCTCTACTCTGTGTTTATGATCCGTGTGTTAACACTGAGCAACAGAAATTCAAAAGATTGATTAAAGAGGCAGAAAAGGAGACGTGGATCCAGGACCATAAACAGGGACGAAGGAGTTTACACCCTGGACCACTCGTGGGCAGAGCCGGATTAACGCAAAGGCAAAGTAGGCACGTGCCTAGGGCCTGATTGGCTGGATGGGGCCCAGACAGAGGAACAAAATTAAAAATAAATTAATTAAAAATTAAATGTACAAATGTCCTATGATAGAATTTGTGGATAGGACTCCTATCTACAATTTATTTCAATATTTATTAATTAACTAAAAATAGTGACAATATTTATCTTAACCATAGGCTGTTTCATTGGCACCACCCAATTAAGGACGTCAGAGAAGCGGTCAGAGTCAGAGCGGGACACAACAAAGCTAGCAGGTGTTTTTGAGTAGGCTAACTTTTCACAATGCTTTCGGGTGCGGCAAAACGTAAAAAAAAAAATGAAGAGGAACAAAAGAAGAGAAAGCGGGGGGGGGGGGCTTTACAGAAGTTTCTGTCGGGCTGCTCGGGCAGCCGTCCAACAGCTGTGAACCCGCTCGAGTCAGCAGAGCCAGAGGCCGGGCTCAAGTCAGACCCGGAGGAGACACGGCCCGACGTCGCAGTGGAAGATGTGGCGGGAAATGCGGCGGAAGACGCTGTAGCGCCAACGCCGTCAACATCAACGCCTTCACAGAAGGACAAACTGGAAGAACAGCAGCCAGCCAGAAGTGAGCCCAATATAGTCTTACAGCAGGAGCCTCTAGTCACAGAAAGGGTGTTAACAACTAGCTACCCATCTGATCCTGCAAAGTGGTACCAAACTGATGACGATATGTGAGTACTTTGCACGAAACCATCCCTCTCAAAATATTGGATATTCTTCTGCATCACAGAGGAAATCTGGAGACATAAACCGAAGCTTAACCAAGGAACATTTCTTTAGACGTGTTTCTGCTGTGACTGAGGCCATGTGATGCTGGAAGGCTGAAGATTATCCTGGAGTGGAGCATGCTAAATGGTTTCCTTGGTAAGTGTTGCTGGTTTTAGTAATTATTTTTCAAATAATTTTATTAATGTTCAAATAGCAAAACAATAAGTTCACACTCAGAAAACTGACACAGAATTTCTGATTCAGCAGAGGCAAAAACAGCCTGAATGAGCATAAAGCAAGATCAAAACTTAACTTTGATGCATGAATTATGAAATCTTCAGCCATGATTTTTTAAACAATTTTTTTCATTCATCTTTAGGTGTGAATGAAACAAATTTCATATTTACATATTTTTTGTAACATTTAGTTTACACATAGTTTATTACATGTCCACCTCAGTGGACAGCGTGTATTCAGAACATGAAATATGTTGGCTTGACTTACTGAAGTCCAAATGGAGGGGCTCAAATGCAATAAAGTCTTCAACAGCTGTGCTTAATAGCAAAAATAAATAAACAACCATTTTGAGTACCTGTCCACTGTAGTGACCATTATGCACCAAAGGGTTAAGATAACGTTTTCATTTTATTAAAACACTTTCTTTTAAGATTATAGATTGTATTAAATTTATACTGTAATAATTTAAGCTGCGTGTTTATAGTTTGTTTTTGCGCCTTTAAAACATGCTTCAGTCCATTCAAATTAATCTATTTATTCTTGAATGTATTTCCACCATCATGTGATTAATTAGTCAACATTTATAAATGTTGTAAGCTATTGTATTTAGCAGAAAATATTTTTAATTAAATGCAGTGATTAAATGTAAACAGAGCAAATAAGAGACACATATTTGCTCCGTTTAAATAGTTTAATGACACCTAGTGTTATTTACTGGTACCGCCTTGACAATGGCACTCCCAATGGATAAGATGAGGATGATTTATTAGCATTTAATACAGCTGTGTAATGACGTATAAATTATTAATATCAAAAAATTGTCTGATAGAATGTTTAACATGCAACACGTGACTTATTTTGGCATACAAACAACCAATTTGTAACCAAAGACTAGGCAATGTAAAATGTGAATGAACTTTTATAAGTAACTTTGGTAAGTTTCAGATTTCAATTCATTAAATAACATCGATGGGGGGGGGGGGGGGGGGGGGGGGGGGGCTAAAAATGCAGCCTGCCTAGTGTAGTCCATTTATTTAATCCGGCTCTGCTCATGGGACACGGTGATCAGCGGAGAAGGCACGGGCAGCAGAGGGCGATGTCGTCCTCTGCTCCCTGCGGATTAAAGGAAGTGACACCACCAACATCCGGCGATTGCTCTGACGAAGACGACAGTGACGAAACATGTCAGCAAAGGTAACAACAAACCCTTATCACTGTTTTAACAAAGAACAAAACAAAATAAAACTGTTTAACCAACACAGGAAGAACGTAACAAATATAAAAAACTATGTTTAAGGATTAAACGCTTTGAGCCAAACTGACATGATCAGCCCCAGTTAGTCAGAAAAATGATAATTTGTTCAGATATCTGACATCTGTGCTTTACTTAATATCTCAGACTTAAAAAGACATTACCTTAGTTATTATAAGTTATTAAGGGACCTGCTGCTCACTAGTTACTATTGCAAATCATATTGTTGTTGATTAACTGTTATAAACTGGTCTTTCTGTAACAAAACAAGAAGATCACCACATTGTAGCATTAAATACTGATATGCTCACTTTTACAATTTTATCATTTATGCTTCTTCATTTTTTCATTTTTCATTTATTGCCTGGAATTACCAGCACAGAAATACAGTCTAGTGGTCAGAGTTATTGGTTCCATGTGGATCGGCTATCAGACCCACTGGAGGACCAAACTTCCCCCTCCTTAAAGGGAGGGGGGAAAGAGAACAGCACCAGGAGTTCAAGAAAGATAAATGGCTTCTCCTCTTAACCAGATTACTGCAGACTTTTATCTGAGAAGAAAGCAAAGGAAATGTGACTGCGGCGGCAGCAAGTGGAAGTTTGACCCAGACTGACCCATCCTATAGCAGAGATCTGGGTTAGCCACTTGACTCCAGGACACCAATAAGAGAAACTGTGTTGGAAGTCTGTGATCAGCTCTCACATTTTCATTTTGGGCTGATCAATTATGGGCTGATGACTTTGGTCAGTACTGGAATCATGATCGTTTAATATGATTACTGTCTGAGTTGTATAAGACTTTCCAGAGTTAACATTTTAAAAGAGCAATAGCATGGAAAATCTACTTTTTGGAGCTTTTTACTATGCTTTTTAATATTTAGAAAATTCAGAAATGCTACGCATCAAACTACTTGTGTCATCAGGCCCTGGAGCTCGTCTTTGATCTGAAACCCTCCTAACCTGGAAGTAGGTCACTAATGCCCACTTTTTCCTAGTTGCAGGCAAAGAGCAGTTGACTTCATGCTGCGGTTGAGAATATGACGTTCATGTTACTGCTTTAACTCTCTGGAACTCTCTCCCCCTGAGCCTGAGATCAGAGGACTCAGTGGTCTCCTTTAAATAGCTGCTGAAAAGTCACCTTTTCAAGCTGGCTTTCACGTGACCTTCATCACCCTCTCCTTATTCTGTTCTTATACCTTTCCCGGGATCCATTGATTTCCCTCTTTCCTATTCATTTTCTCTCTCCCTTTCCTTTTCTCCTTTTAGACATATTTTTTAAATTATTTTAGAAATATTTTTATGCTTAAAATATTTTTTATTTTTGTTTTTGTGAAGCGTCTCGTGATTTTTATCATCAGATAAATGACAATGATAAATGACCCCCTCTCAGAGTAAAGCCTCCAAAGCGCTTTACACTACAGTGTATCATTCATCCATTCACACACACATTCACATGGTGACGAGCTACGATGTAGCCACAGCTGCCCTGGGGCGCATTGACAGAGGCGAGGCTGCCGAGCACAGGCGCCACCTGTCCTTCCGACCACCACCAGCAGGCAAGGTGGGTTAAGTGTCTTGCCCAAGGACACAGCAGAATTCTCTGTCCGAAGCCGGGATCGAACCTGCAACCTTCCGATTACTGGACAACCCGCTCAACCTGTTGAGCTACTGCTGCCACGAGGCAGAGGCACTGGATAAAAAATCGTTTTCTTTCTTTCTTAAACCTCCAACTGTACCAGAGTGGATATTCTGACTAATTACTTTTACATTGGTAACAAGACACCTTGGTAAACGGGTTCTGTCTACACAGATGCACATAATGGCCAGCACAGGATAAGCGAGTTAGTCGACTATTGTTTTGTAACAGACTTGGTAGTCCAGTGGTTCGAGTGCCAATGCAGACACTTTAACTACTAGCCTACCAAGGCCAATGCATCAGCAGACTTGCCTAAGACACTATTGTAGGCACGTTTTTATTGGAGCATGTGGGTGGATCGTCACTGAAAGTGCTGTTTAATTTCTGGGTATAAATTCAGGCTGACAAAAATTATTGTATTTAAGATAAACGACATCTCAATAGTGCAATTGGCAATATTTTATCATATACTGTGCCTACCTTTGCTCTCAAAAGTTTAAATAGCATGATGTGGAACCTTTAAGGATCAACATCTAAAGTCAGAGAGTGGCAGATTTGAGCTTTATAATGATGATTAAAACTCACAAGAGCAAAGTTACTTAATACCTAAATAGAAATAAAAAGCTTAACGACAGGCTGATTTACGCTGAAAAAAGTAAACAGTATACCAGTAAAATTCAAAAATGAATTTAAATCAATACATTAATGATGTGACCTTCAGGAAATAATGAATCTTGTGAACGGCTCTTTAAAGCAAACGAACCGAGTCCTTGTAGAGAACCGTTTGTTTTATGTTTCAGTAGCTAGATGAGTGCCATTGCAGCAGATTGCATTATACACCCAGGGCCTCTGTTTTCAAGCCACTTAGCAATAATTAATGAGAGACAATTCAATTTACTTTTTAATAATGTATCACGGGATTCTTCTTCTTAAAGTCAGCTTTCTCTCCTGAAGTATTTAGAAGTTGAATAAAACTCACTTAAATGAGTTGTGCAATATATCTAAAATGAAAGAATCTACTAGCGCGCGCGTTTCTGTTCTCCAAACCCAGTGAGATCTTTTCCCCAGAGTCAGCAGGCAGCAGGAAGACGAGCAGAGCCAGAGTAGAGATCAGGACACAGGGGATGAGCAGGTTAAGACCGTAGTAGAGGGTCCGTCTGCGCATCACTACGGTGAAGGTGATATCAGGGTACGGCTCCTCGCAGCATTCATAAAAACGCTCGTTCCGTCTTCCTGGAACCTCTGCAAACAAGAGCAGGATAAGTTGTGGCGGCACTGAGGAGAAAAGCCACAGGGACACAAACATCTTTATAAGGGGATTTGGGAATTACCAACAAGATCCCACTCTCCATTAGCGATGTATCCAGTGATGTCTGCCTCCAGCATTTTTAAATCCAGAGACCACCCTCCATACGTCCAGGAGCCAAACTTTAACTCACACCTCTGCACATCAAACGGAAACCAGCGGACATCGATGTAGCAGGTGCTCTTGAAGATCCCTGACACACACATGATAACTGCAAATCAGTCAAGGAAACAACATTTTACACTTCTGTTAAAGCACTGTTATTCTGCTGAATCAAAGTTTCCTCCATCTTATTAATAGGAAAAAAAATTCAACATGGCACCAGGATGAAAGAGCAGAGTAATTCATCAGGAGGGCCAGAGTCTAACTCATTTCCTTCAGTATTTAAGAAAGATATGAGATGCTGGCAGTAAACAAGGTCTCCTCTCTCCCAGTGCCAATGAAAACGATGAACCTGAAGAGGAAATGAACGGAGATGGGTGCACACAAACAGAATAAAGCCTTTTGCTGCAATAAACCTCAGTGACAAAGGCAAATGCCAGGAAGCTTCAATGATTTGTCCTCACAGGTCACAGCTGCAATGATTTTCCTCATTTAATGCATTCGTCTTGTAAGAATATGAATGTTTTATTCAACGGGAATTCATCTGAAGCAGAGTCGAGAGAGGATTTGCTGTTGACAGAGGCAATCTATCCGGAAGAGACTCATTGATGGAGCTATTTACGTTGGTATTGATTAAGGTGCTGCAGCAGAGCAGGCCAGAGCTTTTGCCTTGTAAGGGATAGTGTGGGAGGAGGAGACTGCCAGGGAGAGCAGTAATTGCTGCTAGTGACAGTGAGGCCTCTTGTTTCTGAGTTCCCCTGCATTCATTTGTGTTTACATCACAGAACATGCAGTCTCTGATAGATTTACTGGGGTTTCAATGCATCTTTTATATCAGCTGAGGGGGGCATCAGTGAAAATGCACCATCATGCAATGCAAACTGGAGCCAGAAGATACAGAGCTCAAGCTCCAACATACGTGGCTCCTTATTGAGATTTTGGCTCACACACCTCAGCCATGGCTGCTCTCCTCACCCTGAGCAGCAAGCTTTTTCATTTCATTACCTGAATCAGTATCATTGTGTTGTTTAAAGGTCTCAGATGTATTTAAGATGCAAACGCTGGAGTCCAAAATGCATCTGCTGCCGTCTCCCCATTACCCTCAGCTGAGTCAGCCTTTATCCTAAAATCCACAATCTGCTTTGTCGAGATAAAAATGATGGGATGTTGCTACTACAATGTCCCACAGTAGCTCTGTAAGATGTTTAAGTGTTTCAGGTCCTACTTGATGGGCATAAAGTTAAAATATAAATCTGCAGTTAAACCCAGCAGCAGTTTATAGCGGTAATATTTGAACAGTGATGTTAATACTAATAATCCTTTGCAGATTCTGACACATAAAGTGCTTTTTGAACATAAAATCTCACATTCTTGAGTTCAACATCTCAACAATTTAAGGCCTTTTGTATATTTTAGTTTTATAATATACTTAAAAATTTATTTGGAGGATATTTTCACTGCAGATGGAAAAGTTTTGTGTCTTGTGTAAAAGAAATAGCATAAAGTATACACATTAAATTAAAAAGAAAACAAGATTTTAAAAAAGTAATTGTTAATGTTATTTCTGAATCAGTTTATTTTTTAATTGTAAAAACCATAAAAGTAGGGATGTCCCTCAAGTTCAAGTCCGAGTCCGAGTCCTGATCCGATGCATAAAAAAAGAATTAAGAAAGCAAAGAAACAGATCCAGAATGTTCCTTAGTTTAAGTATTTGACAACCCCGTTGACAAACAACACTTGAGTGAGGTAGCTTTAACAATCAAGTAAATAACATAAATTATTCACTTTTGGACTTTATTGCAACAGCAATGCGGCCGCCCCAGTGACGTGAAGTCACCGCAGCATGGGTGATGACGCGCTGCAGCAGTGGAACATGTCAGGCATGAATAAAACACAGAAAGTACCAGAGAATATGAGCGAATGTGAACGACTGTGTGTTAATTATATATTTTTTGTGGCGCCACTTTGAGAATGTTATTGTGGCCGTGTGCAGGACGCAGCTGCCTGGAGCGCAGAAATAATCAGAGCTCTACCGCTGTCTCCCTCTTCACTCAAAAGTATCCCCGCTACTCTAAGAAGTATATGCATAACATTATTACCAAACAGGATCTTTTTCGGGCTCCCTCTGGGTGTGTAGATTTAGCGGCAACCATTCAGGAGAACCAGTTCCTATATCCAGGTCTGGATCAGGAGTTAACGTCAGATTTCAAATGAGTCTGAAAACACGTGATCGGATCTATTTCCAATCACGTGATCGGATCTGGACATCCCTACATAAAAGCAAAAGTCATGTTGGTGCAGTGAGTGAGCTTGAATTGTGATCTTACCTGGAGGAAGGTAGGAGCAGGACCCAGAAGAGTTCACCAGGATGTTGGTGTGAAAAGTTGCATCAAATCTTTCATCTGCACTGAACACAGCAGGTTATTTAAATGAGTGATTTTAGTGTTCTCCATGCAAAAAACACCTGCAGGAACCTTGGAGTCTTAGATAAATAGATGACGCGCACACACACACGCACACACACACACACACACACACACACACACACACGCACACACGCACGCACACACACATACAAATAGGTTCCATCCCAAATCCAGCACCCTGAGACTCAGGGGCGTGTCCAGGGAGTGGTCTGGGGTAGCACATGCCACCCTTAGAATCTGATTGGCCTCCCCAGGTGCCACCCTACTAAGTTCCAGTTTAAATTGACTTTACAATGTCGACAAAAGGCTTGAGTTGTAAACTCCAAAAATAGTGTGTGGTAGCATGAACCTTTAACATTGTCTTCTAGCCCAGGCCTACAGAACGTTTCTGTAGTATTAATATTATTTATTATTTTTTCATATTCACATAAATAGTATTTAGAGTCCCACTTAACTCCAGTTGGTGGCAATAATGCAACAAGAAGTGACTTGCTAACCACCACAAAACTAGAAGATGAATAGAAAAAAATGGTGATTGTGCAATGTGAAACTCCAAAATTCACTAGAAAGTAAATAAATAAATAAACGATTTGTGTAAATAAATGAATAAGCATAACCATTGGTGGCACCCATGCCTAAACAAGTGCCGCACATGGGCCACCCAATTTGAAAAGTCCCAGACACGGCTCTGCTGAGACTGCACACTAGCCGTAAGGAAGGAGGCCGAGAACTAGTGAGTGTTAGAACCACTGTCCAGGATGAAACATCCAAGATCCATAAGTACATCATAGATAAGGCCCCAACAGATGACGTGCTCAGTGAATGTCTCAGACATCCAACCATCCATCCATTCTTTATTAATAAAGCACATTTAAAACAACGTTACAGCTGATCAAAGTGCTGTACATACAAGGCAAGTAGGCCATAAAAGTGGTGGCAAAGCAAGGCCCACCCAAACAATATGAACAGACAATTAAACACAAGAAATGGGTGATTCCAGCCAGACGGCAGGAGACAAGAGTAAAAATGATCTAAAAATTAGCAAGTCCCAATTTGTCCCAAAGGCCCAGATAAAGGGAGGACATAAGGGGTGATAGAATCAGACCCAAATGCAATGCTGAAGTAGTGGATTATTAAACGGGATTGGAACTCAGTTAATGACTGAGCCTGCCTGAAGTGAAGAGCTAAACGCGTTCCACAATTTGGGCGCTGCGTGGGAGAAAGCTCAATCTCTGCAAATATGTTGAATAGAGGAGGAGACGCTGGAAATACCATCGTGGGAGGACAAACCCCTACATGGGATGTACCACCGACAGATAACTGAAGTGGCTGATATCAAGAAATCCTTCCAATGGCTAGAAAAAGCTGGTCTGAAGGTCAGCACAGAGGCACTCATCATGGCTGCACAGGAACAGGCCCTAATGTGGTTGAGAACAAGAGAGCCAGACTCCTGTGGGACTTCCAGATCCAGACTGACAAAATGGTTATGGAGAACCAATCGGACATTGTGGTGGTGGAAAAACAACAGAGGACAGCCGTTGTGGTTGATGTGGCAATACCAAGTGATGCAACATCAGAAAACAGGAACAAGAGAAACCAGAGAAGTATCAGGGCCTCAAAGAAGAACTTGAGAATGCCTGGAGACTGAAGACATCCGTGGTGCCCGTGGTCATCGGGGCACTTGGGGCAGTAATCCCCAGACTGGAGGAGTGGCTAAAGCAGATCCCAGAAAAACATCAGACATCTCAGTCCAGAAAAGTGCAGTTCTAGGAACAGCTAAGATACTGCAGGACCCTCAAGCTCCCAGACCTCTGGTAGAGGACCCATCTTGGAAGGATGAGACCAACCGCAGATGGTGAGATGGGGATTCATATAAATGTATATATAAAACTGTTATAAAAGATCTAAGTCTGTACTACCTCGTGTCTCCTCCGATATCTACATGAAACTTAAAGATAGAAAGAAATAAAACAGTTTTGTTCCAAAATTCTGAAATCAAGAATGTACTGCGACATTGACAAATGCAGAACTCTCTTTTCCTTATTACTTGAGTGCCTTTAACGTGGCTTGTTCAGATGTTGTAAAGATTGATTAATGCTCCTTAGTAGCACTTTCCATTACAGACATAACAAAAGCTCTTTCTTCCATCTTCTCTAATACAATTTTATTCATTTGTCTGAATGATTAATTGTCCCAGATCACGGATCGAGGCGGTCCTGCATGTGTTTAAAGAACAGGAACCCTGCAACCTTGAAGTACAGTGTTCTGGTTCAAAAACAGCTTACCATGCAGGGTGAGCCATTTAACTGGAAAATCGCTAAACCTTTTCATCCATGATTGGCTTTACAGTATGAAAATCAAAACACCTTTTGAAAAAGTTATTTATTTGCTTACAGGTGAGAAAGTACGAAGTAGGAAACAGTGGCTGTGGTGAGAGACGGGAACATGGTGGGATCCGACTTTCTACATGGATTTAGGAACATCTAAAGGACGGGAACTTTTCTAAAAAGTACAGCTTTGTAATTTTTAAGTGATAGAGAAGCACAGCAGTGCTATGAAATGTTAGAAATGCTATGATGCCTACCTGTTGTACAGCAGAATGTCAGGTTTCCAGATGAGATGATCAGGAAATCGGACGTTGGTCACACCTGGATATTCCACCGTGTTCCACTGGAGGTAATAATCATTCCAGTACTGTAGGATGGAAAATGGTCATGTGGTGTAACTTTCATCCTTAGCACAGACTTCTTTAAAATCCCCTATGGAGATCATCTCTGATCGGTGACAGCAGCTGCTGGTAAAATGAGTTTGAGGTTTAGAAGCATAGCGATACTCAAGGAAAGGATTGTTTACTGTTAGTATATTTCACCTAAAACGTGTTTATGCTGTTTAAGACAAACATTTAAATGTTACTTCATAGTTATTAAATTAGCATAGAAAATGGGGCAATTTTAGAGAAATATTTTATCTTTTAATATTTTTTGGTCCAAAGAAGCCACTTGAATCTGCTCGTTCCCTTTTTCTTTCAGCTTTTTCAAGTCGGAGAAGAAATAATGTTACTGTAAACTCGGACCTCAAAGGAGGAGCTGGCTGTTAAAATGGAGTTCACTAAGCTGAGAGAAGGAATTCCAGTGGTGGCAGAAGTACTTTTGTTGCTTGAGGAAAAGTACAAATAAATGGGTAAAAAAGGTACTTAAAGCAGCAATCTTCTAGTCTAGCAAGCCAGACTAAATAAATATATTATTTAATACACGTTGCAAAGCAAGAATTTGGTCTAGTTCACTAGGCTAGCAATCTTCAGGAACTATGTACGTTTATTTATAAATCTGTAAAAGTGACAGTCTCACCCCGTTCTGTGACATAAAGTAGGAAAAATGATCGCTTTTTTTTTTTTTTGCTAAGCCGCCCCCGTCCCGTAGAGCACCATGCTATTTAAACGAGTTCAGCATTAACCAATAGCGTTGGACATCTGCTCACGTACAGATGCCAATCACAGAGGATGCGTTTGAGGACATATGCAGAGTTGGTGACCTTTCTCAAGGAGTCATGGGGTCATTCAAGGTCAGTCATTAATGAAATCTAAATGAAACATGTTGGAGAAAAGTGGAATCTTAGCCAGTAATCTTTAGTTGGAAGTCACCGTTTTTACTTCCATAAGAAATTGTCTATTTTCCTTCATATTTTGCAGCACAGTGTCAGACCTGTTAGCACTCAGAGACCGTGTTATGGTTAACTCAGCTGCAAACACATCACGTCTTAACTCAATATTCATAAAATTATTGCTTTTATTGACATGCTTGCGTTTCCTAAAGTGGATTAGCTGCTGCGGCCATCTTGGCTGAAGTTGGAAAGAGGCTCCAAGAGATTAATTTAAATCCATGAGTTGGTTCATAAGACATTTTGCTAAATCTACAGAAAAATTAGGATGACTTTTGCAGCAATATGTTCAGCACAGAGTTCAGCTTTTGGACTTTTCTTGGGTGGCTGCCTGATCTAAGGAATATTAAAGCAGCTCCAACCAGCCAACCGTTGGAGGCAGTCTGAGTGGGCTCAGATGTGCAAGGCTGCTGTGGTGATTTAAAACAGCCTTGGTGGAGTTAGCTGACGATGCAGAAGACGAAAACTAGCGTCACAAAACAGACAAGCTGCAATAAAGTATCTGTTCACTTACTAACTGCATGAAGGAGGAAAAAGACGATGGCACGAGGATGATAAATGAACAGGACAGGCGACCATTACGGAGAAATCCTGACTTTAGGTTCAGTTAGTGTCATTCAGTTGGATGCTCACTAAACATCTGTGAATCACGCTGATTAGAATGTCAAGTTTTTGATTAAGTGAGGAATAAAGAAGTAAATTTGTTAAAGGCAATGATGCAACTCAAAGGAAAGCAGCTCTTAAAATCATAAAATGGAAGATAAACAGTCAGGATCAAGTAAAAGTATCAAGTAAAATAAAAATCCTTAACCCTCCCACTGTCCTAACGGGTGTGACCCTGCGAAGAAAGTTGACCATTGAGCAGGATTGATGGTTTACCCCTTGGGTCCACTTGGCAGGGGTGAGGAGTGAGCACCACCTCACCCCTGCCACGTGGACCTCAAGGGATAAACCATCAATCCTGCTCAATGGTCAACTTTCCTCGCGGGGGCACCCATAAAGACAGTGGGAGGGTTAAACACCTTCCTGTAAATGTTCAGCCAGAATCACAAACCAAATAAAAACATATATGTATCTACAACAAATATCTGATGGGACTCACCAGCTGCAGCCAGATGTTGGCTGTTAGAACCTGGTTCTTCTCATCCTAAATGGAAAGCAAACACGAGTCATTATTTCCATGCTTTGCTGCTTGTGGCTGTTTAGGTTTTAATGGAGAGACCACGTGTAAACAGTCTCAGTAGATTTGCCCCTCTAGGTGGTGGTGATGGAAAAAGCAGAAACGGTTACTCGTAACGACTTTCCACATTCTCCCCCACTGATTGGTTCTGAAAACTCTCAGGGCACTTTCATTGGTTTTCAGCAGCACATTTATTTGGACCAAAACAAATCAACTTTTAAATCATGAAAACCTAAATAAACTGGAAAACTTGACACAGCTCTACTGTGAAGTTGACTTTTTGTCACAAGAGCGCCATTACGACACACTCCTAAGAAACTACTGTAGCTAAAAATGTCCGCACCACATCCATGATCTGCATCAGGCTGAGTCCGAAGTACACGGTGAGACTCTGAGAGTCGTTGAAGACCGGTCTCTCCAGTGGGTTGTACCCGCTCATCAGGCTGCTGTACAGTCTGCGTTGGCTCGGCCCTTGATGAGAACCTAAGGGACAAAAAGCACATTCGTAACCCTGACCATTAACCCTTAAAATCCGCTAAACTGTATTGGCTCATCTTTTAAGGCGTTGACAACCGGTGTGAGGAAAGATGCAATCGAAAACTAAATAAAATCCAAGATAAAAATCAAAGAACCAGAATTTTTATTTCCCAGAGTTTTGGTTTTAAATGAAAAGTAACAGCACTTCTTCATGGCAATGCGTTTGTCTGGGTTTAGCCACAGCACAGTTTTTGCTTTAGAGATGATTATGTAATTAAGGAACCTGCTGCAGGGCCCTTATTGTTATTCATGGAAGATTTGATCTCTTTGCTACGTTAATGCGGCTCAAACAGCAGTGTGCACCCCCACAAATTATACATCAAAACAAGCGGCTTGGTCGTGGGAGGTGTGCCGTTATTTTTATAAGCGATCCGATTTACCATGGCAAAAACTTTAGCAAAAAAATTCAAATAAATCTCTCCTTTCGAATGTGGGAATGTCTCAAGCTGCCTATCCAGTTAGAACTGCCATGTACGTATGCGTTACTTCCTCTTCACTGGAGGAATTGATCTCTTGATTAGGGGCGTGCACCCCCACAAATGTCACTTCAAAATGACCGGCTCGGCAGTGGGAAGAGTGATATGTCATGATTTTGGGGTGATCACCACGGCGCCACCCCAATATTATGACTTTTGGCCTCTTTAACACATGGCCACTCTCTTTTGCCAGCAGGCAGGTCCCTTTAAATTTTTTTCAAGAATTTTCTAATAAAATCTACGGCCAGAGAAAGGTTTCAATGCATCGATGCATCAATTAGGACAACCTCAGTCAGGATTTCTCTCTATTCATCTTTTCAGGGTACTTTCTGTGCTTGATCTATGTGAAGCACTTTGTGATTTTTTGTATGTGATTAGTGCTATACAAATAAAATGTACTTTCTTAACACTTGATTTATGTGGCAGTAGAGTCTTTTCTGACCCTTTGACCAGCAAAAATACTTCTGAAGGGTTGAAATCAAGAGCTGTCTTGAAAGATATCTACGTCCAGTTTGCAGTGACTTGCTGATTTAAAAGGAACTAGGCAGTTTTGGGGGCTGCACAGTGGCACAGTGGATAGCATTGTTGCCTTGCAGCAAGAAGGTTCTTGGATCACATCCCAGCCTGGGGTCCTTCTGCATAAAGTTTGCATGTTCTCCGGGTACTCTGGCTTCCTCACAGTCCAAAAACATGACTGTCAGGTTAACTGGTCTGTCTAAATTATCCTTAGATGTGAGTGTGTGTGCGCATGGTTGTTTGTCCTGTGTGTCTCTGTGTTGACCTGCAGTGGATTGGCAACCTATCAGGGGTGTATCCTGCTTGTTTCCTCGTTGACGGCTGGAGATAGGCACCAGCCCCCCGTGACCCTGCGTGGATAAGTGGGTTCAGGTGATGGATGGATGGATGGATGGATGGATAGGCAGTTGTAGCTAGCTTTTAGCACCCCCTAGTGTGTGTTTGTGGTACTGAAAGCAAAATTCATCTCCTCGCTGTGCATTTGTCTTTTTAACACCTTAATCTAACAGCTGAAACATCTCCCCAGCCTCCCTTAGTGTCAACGGGAGTGATTCATCACTAAGTTATATAAATCAGCTGTGTTGATGATCTAAAACATGCAGGAAAAGGGCTGGAACCAGACAGCAGCTCCAGGTATGTCAGCCCAATTTTTTAAAGTCCCAACAGAGCAGCCTGTCAAACTGAAGTTGCAGGTGGAATATTCTGGCCACAGTGACGATAGGGGCTGGGTGGCCTTTCATTAACCCTGTAAAGAGTCATCTAGGCACACATTGGCTCAAGAAAATGATTTAAAAATATGAAAAAGTTGTGAAGTATCTCTTTAAACACACTTCATGAAAGCTTTCTAGAGCCTGTCCACATTTGGTTTGAACATTGAATACCTATAAATGTCCCGTTTTTCCCCTCAGGAGTAGAAATCCGTCAGTGGAAATTATGATCTGGTGATGCTCCAGCAGAAAACACCAGTAGATCATTATGGAAGACAAAGATTTTACGGTCAAATCCACATGAATGCAGGAAAATCAACCCAGTGCTCAATGACACGTGGGATTATAAAGCAATTCGACAGTCTGAGCATGTTTATGCTTGAGTTTCAGCATGAGAAGAAGATTCTCGTGTGTTTGAAGTCAAAAGGTAAGTCGATGACAGAGCAGTTATATCTGGGGTTTTGAAACACACACAGCCAATCAGTTCCTGCATTTGCTTCATCTCCCAGCGTGCAATCTCAAATTAGACCTGTCCCTCATTTTAACACACTCTTGTTTCTGCTCCTAAGGTATGGAGTGTTTTGGCTGTGTCTGTTCACTTCACTAATGGCTATGGCCCAATTACCCCAAACCAGCTATGAGCAGCACATTATCCTGATGATTTGGCTGAGAGCTTCCTCTCTGTGGGCATCCCTTTGCTGCTCTGGTCTCTGTTGCATTAAATCTTTCACTAACAAAGATTGACTGAAAGCTCATCTTTGTGCAATGTGAAATCCTCCCTGAATGCCCCCTCTTCCCAATCCCACCATAATCGAATTACAGGATGAGCATCAACAACATGATACCGATACAGGTTTTTGTCCTGAGAAGACTCTGCAGCACAGCGCAGAACCCTTTCTGGCTCACAGACCACACAGGAGACATTTCTGATGTACGGAGAGCGGTATGTTGCAGGGAATGAGCTCTGACTTTGAGGCCCTTAATCACATTCACCAGCCTTGGTAGTCTGAGTGATGGACAAGGGCTTTAATTACCATGTGCCTGTATACGCACACACTCACACGATTCCTCCTCATCTGCCTCTCTGTACTTGAAACCTGCTTTAACTGGTGCCAGCAGAGAGCAGACCGAAGAACCCCAGTGAGCGATCACCAGATGGATTGCTCCAATCAACATGTTCGCATATTAGAGCAGATCTAGAGTCAGTGAGATACATTTTCAGCACAACCAAGAGATCGCATGAGTTCGTTTTTCACTCAGAGATAAAAAAAAATAATAATAAAAATAAAAAACCCACATGATGCCTGCAGAGGTCACAACATTTGATGACAATGTTGCTATGGCTTTTAGACAAAAACGTCCCCATGCATGAGGAACAAAGCTGTGGTTTCAAGCTGCCTTTGTTGTCCAGAATAAACTGGCCGTTCTGGGAAATGCTGTGTTGTGATCTTACAGTCAGGGCTATTCATTAGTATCTTGTCTGCAAGTCCACACTTGAATCAGACTCAAAGACAGCAGATCAGAGGCACAAAGTTCGGCCAGTGCAGAAAGAAACTCAGTCTGATGATCTAAAAGAACATCAAAACCTCCACCCATTTATAATTAATGTCTAAAGCAATACATGTGAATTTAATGTTAAAAAGCTTTGTAACATGTTACAATATGAGTCCCTTTATTAACATTATTTAGTGCATTATTAAACTATTAAATATAGTATTAACAACTGCTTAACCATATTATGTAATGCATTACTAAGGAGACCCCCTTAGGCCCTTCGTCCTAACCTTAAGAAGTTAATAATAATAATAATAATGATTATTATTATTATTACTTTATTTATATAGCGCCTTTAAACAAAGAGCTACACAGCATGAAATATAAAAACAACAGCGATAACCAAATGGAATACACATGAGCAATAAAATCAATAAGAATTCTAAAACAGGAAGTTAAGTGAAAATGCTGAAAAAGAACCCCACAGTGATCAATCAGTAAGTTGTCTGCTTAAAAAACTTCCTCCGAGCTTTACTTTATTCAATAATACTTAATAATGCTGCAGGTAATTCATTCAGTGACCCTCAGTGTAAAGCGTTCAAAGCTTTATCCAACAACCACATAAAACACGACTTCTTGCACACACGCGCGCGCGCACACACACACACACGTGTATTACTGAGCAGATAAAAAGGAAGAAAAATGAAAGACACTGAATTCATCAAACCAAACTCATCATTGTTTTTCTTTTTTAAATGACATAATAATCAGAAGTTCAGGACGGAAAACGGGGCAATGCTTGAAACGCATAAATGTAATAAAACACAGATGCATCTGCATCATCCTTGTCTGAAAGTTACAGGAGCACGCGCGCACACAGCCTACCTCTCATCACGCAGGTGGAGATCACAACCACAAGCTGAAAATTCAGAAAGTCCATGTTGAAGCGCTGATGTTAGATATAATCACCGGACCTGCTGCGATCTGAACCGGGAGCGAAGATGATGATGCTGACGGTGGGTGGTGCTGCGGGGGGGTGGGGGGTGGGGGGGGGGGGGGGGTGGGGGGGCAGCAGCGGTAAATCAGCCCTCCTCCTAATAAACAACATCACATTGGACTGGGCATCGATCCCTGCTCATCTGCTAACATTTAACCTGACACACAGCACGTGTTCACTGCACATATTAAAATGACCATTTTAGTTCTTTTCAGAACGTAGATTCAAGCGACACTTTTATTTTCTTGACATTTGCATTTAAAAAAATATAAGAAACGTGTTTTTCCCCGAAATACAGCAGCTGCATGTTAGTGTGTTGCTATATGTAGAAATACACGTAGATTGTGAAAGTAACAATTGTAGCCTACATGTAGACAAGTGTAAACTTTTAGGAAAATTTCTGTTATATTTTTTTTACCAGTTTAATCCGTCTGACCGCGACCACTTTTGGCCGTGGACACCACGTTGCATCGCGACAATGTCTGCTGGGCAGTAGCGAGTCGCGACTGGATGATTTGGGAAGATTGTGAGCGTAACCACTAGAGAAGTTTGTATTTGCTGTTGTTCTAATGCTATTGAAACACCACCAGATGGAGACAGAGTTGAGGAAGAAGAAGAAGAGGAAGAAGAGAGAGGCACGTTCACAGCTGCAACAGTTTTATTTTAATAAATTGTCAGATATCACTTACTATAATGATCTATTAAACATCAAACATTGATAATTATATAAAACAAAGATAAGACACATTTACAGGTTAATTAGTAGGCTACTACTAAATATTAGACATTCCCTTTCACTTATTTTTCAAAAATATTTATGGGTTTGATTTTATTAATTTAACAAAGGTTTCCAAATCCTACAAGTTGCACATGATCAGCCATGTATTCTGAAACCCACAAAATCAAGATGATTAACGTGCTTAAGAGCTAAAGAGAACATAAAACACTAACAACTCAAACTGCAATACTTACATTTATGTACTATATTTTGTATTTCACATCGCTTAAGGTGATGGGACTCATTTTTCTGTTTGATTTCTGGAGATTATCTCTGGACCCCAAACTCAACCTTCATGACTCCTGTCTCCCCATTCTGTTCAGCAAGGGCGTCAGTTTGTTTTCAGAATTGCTGGGGACAATAACCATACACTTGAGTGGGGTTTACAAATAGCTGGGGACATTAAAGTAGGCTAGCACAGGGGTCGGCAACCCTCGGCTCTGGAGCCGCATGCGGCTCTTCCATCCATCTGATGCGGCTCTCTGTGCTTGTAAAATAATGAATGGATATTTAAATAAAATGCTTTATATTTTACTGAATTAATTTTACATCTTTATGCCAATTCTAAATGTAAAGATTGTCTGCGTAAACCTGAACAGTTCCAACCCGGTCTTACTGTGAGACCGGGTTGACGCGTCACGCTTGTGCGTAATCATATGCGCTTCTGAGCTGAAGACGATGTGAGATTCTGGGACTCTCCTCAGACAGCTCCTGGATGCTTTGCCACATTGGAGACAGGAACAAGCACTATTCAGCCAAAGTTTCATAATCAGGGAACATTTTCTAAGTGACGAGTCTCTCTGAGAGACCGGGTTTGGAAAACGCTCGCTTCAGTGGGAAGAACCTTCCTGTATGCGCTCTAGTTCTGCGACACGCTCCAAGCCCCTCTCCACATCTTCAGCTCGCTGTGCACCTTATGTAGTACACGCTGACAGCGAGCTGCGCTGAACAGTGTCCAGCTCAGATGTTCAGATGGGAATCTTTTCTTGAGTGATTTAGCTACATCTGCGATTTAAGTGGAATAAAATGTCAGTTCGTCTGCATGCGTCGGGGTCATTCTTTCTATTCTTTCTCCGTCATAATAAACGGTCAAATACGGGAACTATCCCGTCAACACAAGCCCTGCTTTTAACTGTTTTGTTTTCTTGTGAAAATAGATAAAACTAAACTTGATTAACACCAGAGCCAGGCGCACTGCGCCGTTATCTCCGTCACTGTAAATGAGGGAAAAACAAAATGATCGGATCCTTTTCTGACCCTCCCCACCTGCAAAGTTTAATTACAACAATCAAACGTGACAGAGCCTGGATTTGTATTCTGAACAGTCTAAACATGTTTTAAAAAGAAACTTATGACAAAAGGGGCACCTGCTCAGTAAAACCACCAACAGGGTGAAAAATACCAAAAATTGAAGGCAGAGACGGGCTACAACTTCTGGATCCGTTTTATATAAATCGTTTTATTGATTATCGTCTTATGAAAGATAACTTTGACGTACACGAGCGACCAGGCGCGTTGCAAGATTTTCAAAAGTGTGGGGGATGTTGTCTGTGCCTAAAATAAGTTCATATTATTCATCTTGTTAGTTTAATTTCCATAATAGCGGAGCAGGTGCGAATTTTAGACGCGTCACGCATGTCTCCGTTTTAAACATTTTTAAACTGTTCAGAATATAAATCCAGGCTCTGTCTCGTTAGATTGGTGTAACTAAAGTTTGTACTGAATGAAACTTTCTATTAAACCATGTTGAAAAGAGAAGGATCCGATGAAATCGTTTCCCCCTCATTTACAGTCAGGAAGTACAGCGCAGTGCGCATGGCTCTGGGGTTAACCAAGTTTAATTGTTTCTCTTTGCAACAATCTTCACAAGAAGGCAAAACAGTTAAATGGCAGGTTACAGATATTTCCATTTGACTTTTATTTTGACAGATAAACTCGAGGATGTTGGTTGTTTTGAAAGAATTACCCCGACGCACACTGATGCGCACACAGATGAGCTGACATTTTAATCGTTAATGCACATCGCGGAGGTAACTAAATCAATCAAGAAAAGATTCTCATCAGATCATCAGAGCTTTATACTGGACACTGTGTTCAGTGTGGCTCGGAGCGCCCATGGTGGACAGTGGGCTGAAGGTCTGTAGAGGGGTTCGCAGCGCAGTGCAGAACCACGGCGCATGCGGTAAGATTTCCTCCCACTTTTTGTCTGGAAACCCGGACTCTCTGAGGGATGTGTCACCTGGAAAAATTTTCTTTTTATGAAATTATGAAACTTTGGCTGAACAGCGCTTGTTCCCGTCTCTAATATGGACACTCATGACGCATCCAGTCTGAGGCAGAATAGCCTCTTCAGCTCAGAAAGCACCTGCAGAGACATTTGATCACGCACAAAGTTTATGTGGAGCAAAAGCGGTCGGGCCACGGCAGGTGAAATGTTCCTAGCCTACATGAAGTGAAACTGTTTAATTGTAACATTAATGTGTTACTGGACACGCTGGTCTGGTAGGTTAGACCAGTGTTTGAAGTGGAAACACACACACACACACACACACACACACACACACACACACACACACACACACACACACACACACACACACACACACACCAATTAAAATAATGCTGATAGCATGGACTAGAGGACAGGTGATGGTTTACGTATTTAAATGATGATCAGGCTGCTGTAAAATGTAATCTCCATCCACATCCAGACAGAATTATCCTCTATTCTTTCTCTATTTGCTCTGCTCTTGTCTGGGCCGACGTAGCTGACGGTGCGTGCGGCACGCCTAACTAGCGGCTGATGCACATTTTACGCATTTGGAGAGGTGGGCTGGATGCTTTGCTTTTACTGGAAGATGGTCCACTTAACGCACGGGTGTAGACTACATATTAATGACAAATGAATGAAAATTAAACTGGGAGTTTTTACTTCATATTTTATAAATAAAAATGACGGGGTAAAACATTTATGACGTCTTTTTAAACAAAATTTTCTAGCGCGACCTGCCTGCTTCACTTAAGCCACTGCTTGTTAAGGTCCGCCCAAAATTACCGTGGCCCACCCAAAAATGAAAACCTGGCGCCGCGCCTATTATAAACCTCTGCAAATTGTTGTTCTTCACTTTATCAAACTCAGACTTTGTTCAGCTAATGTCAAGATGTAAAATTATGAATTCAGTCGAGCTCTTCCGTCCCTCCCTCTCCTGCTCTACTGGAAACCCAACATCGGCAGTCAGAAGCGGGAGGTGAAGAAGGAGATGAGGCAAACAGAGTGAGTGCGACATAGAGAAACCAGACAGGTGTGGAGGTGAGCAAAATGGCTGGAAAAGTGTGGGTGTTGAATCCCCCACGGGTGCGACACCAAAAGTGTGGGTGTTGAATCATCTCAATAAGAAAAGTGTGGGTGTTGCATCCCCCCATCCCCCACGGGTGCGACGCCCATGCGAGCGACCGGTACCGGCTGCTGTCACCTGTTGTGAGCAGCTCTCTGCTGTCTGAGAGTAGGCCCCGCCCACAACGATGCGGCTCCCAGTGTTTTCTTTACTGTGGGAAACGGGTAATAATGACTCTTTGATGGGAATAGGTTGCCGACCCCTGGTATAAGATCTGAGCTGGTAAAACAAAAATCCTCACCAGCAGGCTTTTTTGAAAGTGGGGGGGACACAGCTGCCAATCACAAATTTTGCCGGGGACATGTCCCCGGTGTCCCCGGTTAAAATGACGCCTATGCTGTTCAGTCATGTGTCCCTGTTAATTGCTCCCACCTGCCTCTCGTTTTCCAATCACCCAAGCTCCCAGCCCTCATGCATTTAAACCCTCTCAGTTCTGTATGTTTTGGTCGGTTCATTGTTTCTATGTCCAGCGTGTTTTATATTAAAGCCTTTGTAAGCCCGCCCTTCCTTCCTTCCTTCCTTCCTTCCTTCCTTCCTTCCTTCCTCCCCTTCCTTCCTTCCTTCCTTCCTTCCTTCCTTCCTTCCTTCCTTCCTTCCTGTCTGTCTGTCTGTCTGTCTGTCTGTCTGTCTGTCTGCCTGCCTTTTTCACCCGCGTTTGGATCTTTGCCTCCGCTCTGTTTTTAACACCGCTTTGATATTATGTTAAATGTTTTGATGATTTTATATGCACTTTGTAAGACTGTTATATTCTCATCAGATTCTTTCATTTAATAATGTTGTTGCATGTACGAATGGTTTTGTGTAGGTTTTTCCACAACAAGAACAGAGATTAAAATCAACATTGGGTCATTTTTATTTCCTCATCTTTTTCACATACCAATCACACAGCTCTCACAATTTCCTTACAATGTCTGCAGCACTGATTGTGCTTGGAAGTAGGAGTCCTCCAGTGGAAAAAGGGCTTTTAGTGAACTTCAGAATAAATGTATATTAATTAATCGCATAATAAATCGTTCTTTTTCATCAACCCTGTGTGGTCCATTATGACCAGCTCAAAGAGATTTCATTTACTGGTGTTAGCCAAAGCTGGATGCGACCTCCATGCCACATATGAAATTTCATCAACTTGTGACCAAGAAGGAATATTCTCTCAGAATAATTACTATGCAGATGAAATGTCACAATGATTTTGTCCATCATTTAATTTAAAGTACACACAAGTCCAGATTTGTTCTTTTATGCTTTCTTCTTACTCATTCATTCATCTTTAATTAACTACACTCATGTCTCACACAGCTCCTCCAGCCGAGAGCCTCGGGCAGGTGGATGAAAACTTCATTCTTAGTAACTTCTGCTTGAAAGCTGAAATTCTGAACAAGATTCGTGTTCAGCTACAAGCGAGGTGATTAAAGTCTGAGTCTCAACTTTAATAATAAATGCTCTTAAATGAATAATAAATGCTGTATGAGCTGAAGTATGTTAAGTAAATCTGATTAAAACAAGTCAGCTCTTCTGCTCCTTAGAGACACAAATGTTTTAGTGCAGATACTTAGAGACAAAATGCACACAGCAGAGTCACTGGTGACAACATGCACTAACTATTCATTGGTGACAACATGCACTAACTATTTAACAGTCTCATGGATTAATTGCTCCCACTAATTAGAACGAGGAGGTAAAAGTCTGATTCCAGTCGCATAAAAGCTACTCAGAAATTTTTGTCTGGACCTGGAATTCACTAAGTAAGATTAACTTCGTATGAGCAAACTAAATAAATAAACAAACAAACAAACAAGCTTGACCTGGAGGGGTGTGATTGGGAGGAACGGCCCACCTAATCTGAACTCGAGCGGTGTTTTGTTATTGGACTTCTGTGCAAGCCGCAGTTTGGCCATAACGAACACCATGTTCGAACATAAGGATGCCCACCGGTACACTTGGTACCAGGGCAGCCTAGGTCACAGGTCGATGATAGATTTTGTAGTCGTATCATCTGACCTGCGGCCGTATGTTTTGGACACCCGAGTGAAGAGAGGGGCGGAGCTGTCAACTGATCACCACCTGGTGGTGAGTTGGATCAGATGGCAAGGGAACATGCCGCGTAGACCTGGCAGACCCAAACGCATAGTGAGGGTCTGCTGGGAACGCCTGGCAGAAGAACCTGTCAAGACGGTCTTCAACTCCCACCTCCGGCAGAGCTTTGACCACGTCCCGAGAGCAGTGGGGGACATTGAGTCCGAGTGGGCCTTGTTCCACTCTGCGATTGTCGAGGCGGCTGTTGCTAGCTGTGGTCGTAAGGTGGCCGGTGCCAGTCGTGGTGGCAACCCCCGTACCCGCTGGTGGACACCAGAGGTTCGGGGAGCCGTCAGGCTGAAGAAGGAGGCCTACAGGGCGTGGCTGGTCTGTGGGTCTCCGGAGGCAGCAGACAGGTACCGGATAGCCAAGCGGGGTGCAGCAGTGGCAGTTGCCGAGGCAAAATCTCGGGCGTGGGAGGAGTTTGGTGAGGCCATGGAGAAAGACTATCGATCGGCTCCAAAGAGGTTCTGGCAAACTGTCCGGCGCCTCAGGAGAGGAAGGCAGCAACTCGCTCACACTGTTTACAGTGGGGATGGGGAGCTGCTGACGTCAACTGAGGCTATAGTCGGACGGTGGAAGGAATACTTTGAGGAGCTCCTCAATCCCACCAATGCGCATTCCGAGGAGGAACCAGAGCTGGGAGGCCTGGGGATGGACTGTCCGATCTCGGGGGCAGAAGTTGCTGAGGTAGTCAAACAACTACACAGCGGCGGAGCCCCGGGGGCGGATGAGGTTCGTCCTGGGTATCTCAAGGCTATGGATGTTGTAGGGCTGTCATGGTTGACACGTCTCTACAACATTGCGTGGTCATCGGGGGCAGTTCCTAGGGAGTGGCAGACCGGGGTGGTGGTCCCCATCTTTAAGAAGGGTGACCTGAGGGTGTGTTCCAACTATAGGGGGATCACACTCCTCAGCCTCCCTGGAAAGGTCTACGCCAAGGTACTGGAGAGGAGGGTCCGATCGATAGTTGAATCTCAGATAGAGGAGGAGCAATGTGGTTTTCGTCCTGGCCGTGGAACTGTGGACCAGCTCTATACCCTTGCAAGGGTGATGGAGGGGGCATGGGAGTTTGCCCAACCAATCCACATGTGCTTTGTGGATTTGGAGAAGGCTTATGACCGTGTCCCCAGGGGCACCCTGTGGGGGACGCTCCAGGAGTATGGGGTGGGTGGCTTTCTGTTAAGGGCCATTCAGTCCCTTTACCAGAGGAGCGTGAGTTTGGTCCGCATAGCCGGTAGTAAGTCGGACCTGTTCCCAGTGAGGGTTGGACTCCGCCAGGGCTGCCCTTTGTCACCGGTTCTGTTCATCACTTTTATGGACAGAATTTCTAGACGCAGCCGTGGAGTGGAGTGTGTCGAGTTTGGTGGCAGGAGAATCTCGTCTCTGCTTTTTGCGGATGATGTGGTCCTCCTAGCTTCATCCAGCTCTGACCTTCAGCTCTTGCTGGGTAGGTTCGCGGCCGAATGTGAAGCGGCTGGGATGAGGATCAGCACCTCCAAATCTGAGACCATGGTTCTCGACCGGAAAAGGGTGGCTTGCCACCTCCGGGTCGGGGGAGAGGTCCTACCTCAAGTGGAGGAGTTTAAGTATCTCGGGGTCTTGTTCACGAGTGAGGGTAGGAGGGATCGGGGGATCGACAGGCGGATTGGTTCGGCGTCTGCAGTGATGCGGACGCTGAGCCGATCTGTCGTGGGGAAGAGGGAGCTGAGCCAGAAAGCCAGGCTCTCGATTTACCGGTCGATCTACGTCCCAATCCTCACCTATGGTCATGAGCTTTGGGTAATGACCGAAAGAACGAGATCGCGGATACAAGCGGCCGAAATGAGTTTCCTCCGTAGGGTGGCCGGGCTCAGCCTTAGAGATAGGGTGAGGAGCTCGGACATTCGGGAGGGACTCGGAGTAGAACCGCTGCTCCTCCGGATCGAAAGGAGCCAGTTGAGGTGGTTTGGGCATCTGGTCAGGATGCCTCCTGGACGCCTCCCCGGGGAGGTGTTTCGGGCATGTCCTGCCGGCAGAAGGCCCCCGGGTCGACCCAGGACACGTTGGAGAGGTTACATCTCCAATCTGGTCCGGGAACGCCTTGGGGTCCTGCCGGAGGAGCTGGTGGACAAGGCCGGGGAGAGGACGGCCTGGTGCTCCCTAATTGGGATGCTGCCCCCGCGACCCGGACCCGGATAAGCGGAGGAAGACGAAGACGAAGACAAACAAACAAACAAACAAACAAATAAATAAATAATTAAATAAATAAAAAATCAAGTAGACTAAAATGAAAAAAGAAAACACATTCAAATTTTTTTTTTCTGTGTGAAACTTGTACCTCCCGGTGACACACACACACACACACACACACACACACACACACACACACACACACACACACACACACACACACACACACACACACACACACACACACACACACACACACACACACACACTTAGATAGATTCTGTATCCTGGTCTGGCAAAATCTATTTTGTGTTGCATACTATGTGGTGACACCTGAGCAATGATGGAACTGTATTTATTAACAGCTGAATTAGATTTAGTTAATTAAATGTTTTCGTCAGCAAAGTAAAGCTTGTTTTCATTTTTTTAACTTCCCAAAATTACCCATTATTAAGTAGGCATCACTGGAATATCCTTAATCTGCTTTGATTAAATCTTCTATTTCCACGAGTCATAGTGAGAATATGGATTCAAATGGCAGTTTTTGTGAATTCCTGACATCTGAAAGATCCGCATACGGTCAAAAAGCAAACCTTTGTAGTAAGTCTTTGCCTGCAAGTCTAAAATCAGGGTTGAAATAGCCCCAAACAAATCACTTTCGTTCTGGCGTCCTATTGGTGGGATTTTCAAAGAGGTGGAACCAAAAAGGAAAACAAGGACGTGAACTCGCTTTTTTCCTCCCAATAGCATCTGGCTATTTCCTCTTCAAACCGTTGACCCCCGAGAGTTTGAACCACGGAATGGTTAGTTAGAGCTTTGTTACGTGGACAAGAACAGCTTACGCCAAACTATGCAGGACGTACGAAGGCGCAGAGGCAGGGAGTCACACAGGTTTGTACTCATAAGATGAAACCACGTTGTTTTCATTCATTTACTGGTTATACTTCAGGTTGTTTACTCTTCTGTACTTATCTCCAGTCCTCGGACTGAAACGCTTTTCACTAAAAGTGATCAAGACGAACCAAGTGGAGGTCTTATCCTTCCTAGTGAAACTGTAGTGAAGGGATGCAATCATGCAACTATAATGGAGCATGTTGTAATTTGGGCTTTAGTGTTCTGATATGTGCAGAACAGGTTCACTTTGCAAGCTTTAGCTGACAAGTTAAGATCTACCTGGCTGCAAGATCTGTAATAACTGTGCCCACCTAATTCGTAATATACGTCACTAGCAGGTGTTTAGCCTAAAAGCAGCCTTGTATTACTGTGTTGGAACTCTGCGATTCTAATAAGATTGCGTCTGTTGAAAATCCCAATTAATTTAAAAAATCGTGCTTGTGTGATTGACTATCCTCATCTAGAGCTAAAACCCGTAGATCAGCTGTCAGATCGGTCCTTTTGCTTTCCATAGACCTCTAATAATCAGTATTAGAGCTGTAGACAAGCTTCAATTTCATAATGTCCCAAATGACAAACAAATGAATCATCTGCATGTTTTCAGTGGACCAGATGAAGGATTAACTCATACTCATTCAGGACAGACGGCATACAGCACTGTCCCCTGAGTCTGTCCCCATTGTCTCTGTACTCTAAACACAAATGTGGCCTGGGTCTTATTGCTTTGGCATAGCTCTGTTCCTGCAGCCATGTGGACATTTTCCTGCTTTCTGGATTCATGGAAAAGTGCCTTAATTTGACTTATTTGAAATAAAGCATCAACTATTTATTTGAGTATATATAAGGGCTGAACTTTTACTATACTATATTATGATCTTTATTAATTGAAAACAAAACAAAGCATAACATATTTGGAAAACCACCCAGTAATAGATTTCTATAAGACCTTTTAGGTAAATTGCTTCAATATGAATTGATTTGGGTTGTAGGGTTGATTATTCACACTATGGTCTTTGTATTGTAAAACACTTGCATCAGTCAAATCACAAGACTCAATGACATGTTGCACATGGATCTAATTATACAGTACACAGCAGCACCCAGAAGAGCTGTAGAGAAAACAGCTTATTTGCTAAAAATGCTGTGCTAAAGAATCCATAATATGCATGAGGTCACTCTGAATGTAAACAAATACATTGTAACTCCTCCTCAACAAGTTTAGGGATTCAGATCAGCTGTCTGAACTTGATCTGTGGCCTAATGAAGCAGAACGTCTGCTAAACCTACTTCCTGAAACAGATTCAACAACAGTTTCAAACAAAAACAAAACAAACAAAAAAAATCTCCTGGAAAGTGATGATTAAACAATACAATATGCTGCAAAAAGAAAGCTTTATTTTTAAATGCTAACTAATAGCATGAGTACTATACAGTAATTCAGTAACTCTGAGGTTAGCCTCCCGTCTTCTGGCATAAAGGGAAGTAAGTTTGGCAGTCATCCACATATAGATAAAACTTAACACCATGACAAAGACTTCCCCCAAAGGGAGTAAATAAAGTGCAAAACAGAGTGGCCCCAGGACCGATCCTTGTTGTTCCCCCCAACACTGGTCCTCCCAGGGAGACGAGGCTTCACCCACCATAACACAGAACCTCCTTCCCTGAAGATATGATCTCAGCCATTGAAGAGCCCACCCAGTGCTCCAAACGATCAAGGAGGATATCATGGTCAACTGTGTCGAATGCAGCCGTTAAATCCAACAACAGCAACACTACAGCTGTACCCTGGTCTATGGCCATAAAGACATCATTCAGCACCATCAACGTGGCTGTTTCTGTACTGTGTCCGGCCCCAAATACAGATTGAACCTGAGATTGAAATAAAATAAAAACAATAAAGTATATTATAGTCAGAAAAAAATGTAAATACCATAAATCTAAGATCTAAGCTGTTCTTTGTGACTAGATTTATAATAAATTTTATCTGCAGTGTTCTCATTTGAGTTTTATGGTTCGAAAAGTTTGGATTGTTCAGCATTGCAGCCGTTTTTCAGGCAGACCTGGAGACACCCTAACCGCATCGCCAGTGACCCACATCAGTTCTGCCCTTGTTGACAAGCAGCTGATGATCAAACTTTAAGAACCCAAAGGCGAGTCATCCAGAATCAGCTCAGTTCTGTCTTTGTGATGACAGAACCGTGAGGAATTTAAGTGTTCTACAAAATAAAAAATAAAAAAATGAATAAGTCACCAGAAGTTGAAAATAAACAAGTTGAAAGTTTCATAAAATCCACAGATGGTGCATCATCATCATCTTGGGACAGCAGTAGCTCAGGTGGTAGAGCGGGTTGCCCCATGATCGGAGGGTCATGGGATCGATTCCAGCTCCCGCCAGGGGTATTCTGCTGTTGTGTCCTTGGGCAAGACACTTCACCCAACTTGCCTGTGTTAGTGGTGGTCAGAGGGGCCGACGGCGCCAAATGGCAACCTCGCCTCTGTCAGACCTCCCCAGGGCGGCTGTGGCTACAAGTAGCTTACCATCACTAGCAGTGTGCGAATGTGAGAGTGTGTGGAAGCGTCTTTGGGTGTCTAGAAAAGCGCTATATAAGTTCAATGCATTATTATTATTATTATCTTATCAAGGTTGTGTTTGGATTATAAAAAAGGCAAAAACTGCAAAATTGGTGCAGACCTATCATTATAAACTGTGATACTTTTCAAACTTGAAATGCAATTTTGCTCTTTTTGTTGAAAACAGAGTATGTACTTTCTCCCCCTGTCAAAGAGACATGCTTGTGTTTGGTGTTGTGTTAACAATAAAAGCACTTATGTGCTTTAGCTTGCAGTCTCAGCTTCAGTAAACATCAGTGTGTATTCTGTTAAAATCTCCGCCTCTTTTGATCATCTAGTTTCATTGTTATAATTAGTCATCATTGTAATTGTTTTCTGACAGCACAGCATGTGTTTCAAAGGAAAATGTACCGCAGAAGAAGAAGAAGCAACACTTCCACTTTGACCTCTGGTTCTGTCTGACTCTTCAGAACTGGATACTGGACTTCGGAAGGCCCATCGTCATGGTAACGGAGCTCACATGTGTTTGGACAGTTAAACACCTGAGTCTAGGGATCGATGAACAACATTTTGTGTATCAAACTTGTTAGATTGTCCTTCCTCTGGAGTGGTTTCCTCTGAACAAACCCAGTGCCGGAGACTATTTCCACATGGCGTACAACGTCATCACACCCTTCCTAATGCTCAAGGTAAGTGACACAGACCTTACCATTAATTCCCAGCAGACCTTTTTAGTTATGCACGTGATAAAAATGTAAAAACAAATCAAAGTCATCCAGTTTCATATTTAATTCCATTTTTGATTCTTTTTTAAAACACAGGAAGGGTTTCTCTTTACCTTGCTAACGTTTTGTTTGCCGACTGCAAAACATCCTCAGAGCTGACGCTGATGGTGTCACTTCCTACTCCGTTTATCCGCGGGCAGCAGAGGACGTTGTCGCCCTCTGCTGCCCGCTCTCCCCTCTCTGATGATGCAGTCCCATGCGCGGTCCAATGAGTAAACTCCATCGTCTCTGTTCATGGTCCCACATCCACGTCTCCTTATCTCTATAGCTTCTTTTATCCATCTTTTGTATTTCTGTTGTTCGGTGTTTATGATCCTTGTGTTGTCCCAGTCCATTACATGGTTTTCTCTTGTGCAGTGATCTGTTACGGCCGATTTCTTTATTGTACTTTCTGCTTCTTGTTTTGCTGCACTTGTGTGTTTTCGACTTGTTTCTTTCTTATACTCCTTTCTATGTTCTATTGTTTGTGTGTTAAGAGCAACAATGAAAAAACACAGCATAAACACACCAACAAAACCACACACAACAGTTAGAAACAGACTAGTGCACCCAAAAGACAAAATACTAGCTGGATATAAATGTGGAGTCATTTACAAAATCCCATGTAAACTCTGCAATAAAACACACATAGGAGAAACCGGACGCCAACTCAACACACGAACAATAGAACATAGAAAGGAGTGCGAGAGAGAAACGAGTCGAAAACACACAAGAGCAGCAAAACAAGAAGCAGAAAGTACAGTAAAGAAGTCAGTCGTAACAGATCACTGCATAAGAGAAAACCATATAATGGACTGGGACAACACAAGGATCATAAACACCGAACAACAGAAATACAAAAGATGGATAAAAGAAGCTATAGAGATGAGGAGACGTGGATGTGGGAACATGAACAGAGACGATGGAGTTTACTCATTGGATCGTGCATGGGACTGCATCATCGGAGAGGGGAGAGCGGGCAGCAGAGGGCGACAATGTCCTCTGCTGCCTGTGGATAAACAGAGTAGGAAGTGACGCCACCATCAGCGTCAGCTCTGAGGATGTTTTGCAGTCGGCAAACTAAACTGTCAGCAAGGTAAAGAGAAACCTTTCCTGTGTTTTAAAAAAGAAACAAAAATGGAATTAGAAGCCAAACACAGAAAGAACGTACCAAAGACAATTTCATATTTGCTACGTTTCTTTCTGGTATTTAGATTTTTAGGGTTTAATATTTGTATCATCTCTTCTTCCCTGTATTTTTTTCTTCACAGTTAAGTCCGTTTTGAGCCACATAAGAGACTACTTCATTACAAAGACCCTTATTCATTTAAGTGACAGATTACATTCATACAAGCATTATAAAACCAAACTATAAAGCCTAAAGGAATAGTACATTTGGATCATTTGTAAAAATGATGTTTAAGCTTAGACATAAATGATAAAGTTGAGAATCCAGTTTAAATGATAAAAAATAAGAAGCGCATGCAGGTTTAGTTGATGTGCTTCTTTTGCCCCTTGCTGTCCCTCAGGTTTCTGAGGCTCACTCAAGGTGAGACTACACATTAGCAGGATTTCTCTGACTGGATTTGCTACATCCCTGCTTTATCTTTACTTTGCAGGCCCTCCAAAAAAACTGCACTCCCAGCTTTCGAGAGATAGCTCCATACTTTGTGCTTGATGGGAGTTTTCTGCAAACTGTAGGAAATAAATTCTTGTAAATATCCTGTAAACAGTCAATCAGTTATTTTGTAAACCTCTACTAAAGTATGATGCAGCCTTCTCTACACTATATTAAATTGCCCTTTCTCAGTCCTTTTAAGGTCAAACTTCATGCAATTTCTTACAAACATTTATTATTTTTTTCTTGATTTTCAAAACAAGCACAATTAGTTTTTGTTGGCACAAATTTAGAGGAAACATTCAAAGGTTAAAGAAAACCTCAACCTTTAATTGTAAAATGATGTAGAATGAAAGACTGTCAACTTTCAAAAAGGTTCAAATAAATGCTGGTTTTTAGTATTTGTTGACATCTTTGCAGCAATAATTAAAATGTTTTTAATTATAATGAAGAGTTTTAAGTATCTCGGGGCCTTGTTCATGAGTGTGATGAAGTGTGACATTGACAGGTTGGTGCTGCATCTGCAGTGATGCGGGCGTTGTACCGATCTATCGTGGTGAAGCTGAGCCGGAAGGCAAAGCTCTCAATTTACTTGTCAATCTACGTTCCTACTCTCTCACCTATGGTCATGCCATGCCATGCCATACCATATCGGTTCTTTTGTAAAGCTCGTTTACACATAGCATGAGAGCTGACCAAAATGCTTCCCATAAATACATAGCAACACAACAAAGTAAAAACTGATAAAACAAACAATAAGATCAACAAATAAAAACAATCAGACATGGCCATAAAATCCCAAAGGCCAAATCATAAAAATGCATTTTCAAACTAGATTTTAAAGAGGCCTGGAGCCTGTCTAACCAACAGTGGAAGTGTATTCCGAAGAGTAGGGGCACCCCCCCCCCCCCCCCACACACAAATGTGAAAATCAGAACCTTTAAAAGAACTCTAAAAGCAACGGGAAGCCAGTGAAGCTGTGCAAGGAGAGGGGGTAATATGACTACGATGGCTGGTGCTTGTTAGAAACCTGGCAGCAGCATTCTGAACAATCTGAAGGCGATTCAGGGCCGAGACAAGGTTGCTGATTAGGAGAGCGTTGGCATAGTCAAGGTGGGAGGTTAAAAACGCATGGATCACTGATTCTAAGTGTATCCTCTTCAGTATAGGTTTCAGGCGTGATAGTTGACGCAACTGGAAGAAGTACAATTTTACCACAGCGTTTATTTGAGAAACCACTGAGAGACCAGTGTCCAGTTTGACCCCAAGGCTAGTCACACGATCAGGAAAGTTCTGTGAAAGATGGACATGGGAGACATTACACAGATCAAATAACATTGTCTCAGTTTTAGCTGCGTTGAGCAGCAAAAATTTGTAGCTAACCAGTCCTTCACCATGGTCAAACACATCAAAAGCATGGAGGAAGCATTTGGTTTGTCCACTGCGACATACAGCTGGCAATCATCAGCATATATGCCACGAGCTTTGGGTAGTGACTGAAAGAACGAGATCACGGATACAAGCGGCCAAAATGAGCTTTCTCCACAGGGTGACTGTGCTCTCCCTTAGAGATAGGGTGAGAAGCTCGGTCATCCTGGAGGGGATCGGAGTAGACCCACTCCTCCTCCACATCGAGAGGAGCCAGTTGAGGTGGCTCGGGCATCTAGTTAAGATGCCTCCTAGACGCCTCCTTGGTGAGGTTTTCTGGGCACGTCCAAGCAGGAGGAGACCTAAAGGAAGACCCATGTTGGAGGGACTATGTCTCTCGGCAGGCCAGGGAATGCTTTGGGATTCCCCCTGAGGAGCTGGCCCAAGTGGCTAGGGAGAGGGAAGTCTGGGCCTCTCTGCTTAGGCTGCTGCCCTCGCAACCCGACCCTGGATAAGTGGGCAAAAATGGATGGATGGATACATCTATTTTCTTTGCTGCAATAAAGGCACCTTAATTTTAAAATTACGTGGTAGTTTTTGAGTATTTCATGACTGTAATGAAGTCACTGAGGAGCCACAAACCTTCTGCTCTGTTGTGATAAGAATTCTATTCTAAGCATCTAATGAAATCAAATGTGGGCAGATGGCAGCAGCTGTGATTTGTGAACTACTGTTAGGGCAACAATTGCCTTCCTGAAGACAGAAAGGAGACCCGTGAGCATGCATTTGCTGCTGGGGAGTGAAACCTGATTAAAAATATTAACCTTTACAAGTTTAAGGTTTAAGGTTCAACAAGACGGCGCCTGTGCTTGGCTTAGCTGCAGTCACCAGCCACTTTTTCAAACTTTTCTCCACTAACCTCCTCTTTTCCACCTTGTTCTTGTCTGTGATCCTCTTCAGTAGTGTCCCTGCTACCATCTCCTATGATCGCCAGACTCTTTTGTCCTTCCGTTCGTTCACGATCGCCCAAGATGCACCGAGGACGTACCTCCCTGTTTGTATATCTGAGTGGCGCACTGGCCTGGAGCCAAACAATGATTCCAACCAGGGCGCCTCCAGCGATGTTTATCCAGTCCCGGGAAAATGTTGGAGGAAAAGAAGTAAACGAGCAGGAATCCAGGTGAGAATAAGACTTCTCTTAAAGCGTGGTTTATCTAGTAAACATCGGCGTGATCTTCTAGCTTCTTGTCCTTTGTATGGCGACCTGAGCGCCACTTCCGCATTCCCGCCAGGCCTCGTTGCGGCACGGTTTCTCCGTCCAAGTTTTTTAAGTTGGTTTATCCTCATTCCTCAGTGGTTTCTCCTCCTGTTCCCTCCATGAGTGGTTTTTATAAACACCGCGGATCTAACTCTGCTAATTTACATCCACTAACTCCAGCTGTTTCTGTAGTTTCTGATTCCTCCACCTCACTCAGCATGGCTCTATTAAATTCCTGCTCTGTTAACAATAAGACCTTCCTGCTCAATGATCTAATTCTCTCTAAAAACCTGGATTTTCTGTTTCTGACTGAAGTTTGGCAGCAAACATCAGATTATTCTGGTCTGATTGAACTCTGCCCGAGTGGTTATTCTTTTCTTAGCCAGCCTCGGGGTTCTGGTCGTGGTGGAGGCCAGCTGTTGTTTTCAGAGACCATCTTCCATGTAGCTCTAGAACCTCTGGTCGCTTTGCTTCCTTTGAACTGCAGCTGATTAAAGTCGGGCGTAAGGACCCGTTCTACTGTGCTGTGGTTTATCGTCCGCCTGATCCAAACAGTTCTTTCCTTCAGGAGTTTAGTGACTTTCTATCCTCCACTGTGAAGCTGTCCAGACTGGTGATTGTGGGTGACTTTAACATCCACGTTGATGATCCCTCTGATCTCATTGCCATGAATTTCTCCAGCCTCATGGACACCTCCGGCTTTACCCAGCATGTTTCTGGCCCCACACATGCCAGGGGGCACACTCTAGACCTTGTTTTTACCCTGAGTCTAAATGCTGACAGTGTTTGTCCTGAGGACGTTTATATTTCAGATCACCATTGCATTTCTTTAACTTATCAGTTTCTGTGTCCCCACCTCCTGCTCGCCGTATGGTTAGTTCTCGTTTTCTTAATGAGAGCATAGCTAGCAATTTTTCTGCTGCATTTAATCCACCCTGTTCTTCTGATAATGACCCAGATTCCTTAACTTCTCAGTTTAACGAGCACTGCCTCTCCATTCTGGACAACATCTGTCCTGTCAAAACCAGATCAGTTCCTGCAGTGAACCCTACTCCCTGGTTTAATGACAGAATTCACAGCCTAAAGCACCAATGCAGAAAAATTGAGCGCTTGTGGAAGAAAACCCATCTCCACGTCCATCTGCTGCACCTAAAGGATCTTCTGACATCCTTTAACTCTGCAGTCAGAGACGCTAGGGTTTCCTATTTTTCCAACCTGGTGTCCTAGAGCAAAGGGAACCCCAAGGTGCTGTTTAACACCATCAGCAGCATCGTCTCTCCTGCCTCTCCTACAGCCTCCATCCACTCCGTTGCAGACTGTGAGACCTTTCTGTCTTTCTTTGTGGACAAAGTTAATAAGGTTAGATCTAGCATCTCTCCTTCAGCCTTATTGCTGCCTCTCCCGACTCCAACCAGGCCCATCATCCTAGATAGCTTTGCTTCTGTTTCTTTGCCTGAGTTAACCAAACTAGTTAATTCTATGAAGACCTCTGCATGCCCCCTCGACATCTTACCCTCATCTTTGTTTAAAAGTGCTTTTCAGTCCATCAGTCCCAGCGTGCTCTCTATAATTAATGCTTCTCTGGTTTCTGGTCAGGTCCCTGCTTTAAGAATGCTGTAATCCACCCGCTTCTTAAAAACCGAGTCTTGACCCCTCTCTCCATAGCAGCTTCAGACCCATCTCTAAACTTCCGTTCATCTCCAAGATCTTGGGAAAGGTTGTGGCTAAACAACTCACAGCTGCTCTTGATGAACATAACATCTATGATTGCTTCCAGTCAGGTTTTCGTAGAGCTCATTCTACTGAAACAGCTCTTCTTAGGGTCTCTAATGACCTTCTGACTCACAGTGATGCAGGGGACTGTTCTGTTCTGGTCCTGCTGGACCTGACTGCAGCCTTTGATGATGTTGACCATCACCTGCTACTGGAGAGGCTGAGAGACTGGGTAGGCCTATCAGGAAATGCTCTGGAGTGGTTTTCCTCTCATCTTTCTGAGCGCTCCTTTTCTGTGGCCGTCTCCAAGTTTAGGTCCTTCACCACCTCCCTTACCCATGGTGTCCCACAAGGTTCTGTGCTGGGGCATCTGCTCTTCCTCCTTTATCTGCTTGCTCTTCAGCACATCCTGAGCTCCTTCAAAGGAATCTCCTACCATCTTTAAGCAGATGACATCCAACTGTACAGCTCCTTTAAGCCCCATGGCTGCAGCTGTTACACACCTGCTTAGACTCTATCAAAACCTGGATGGCTGGGAGCTTTCTTCAGCTGAATGAAGATGAAACTGAGATCCTCATCTGTGCCCCAGACAAGCTGGTTCCCAAAGTCAGAGACTCTCTTGGTCAGCTTGCTTCTCACATCAAACCTTCCGTCAGGAATCTTGGTGTGACCTTTGACCCAGCTCTCAACCTGGATTCTCATGTCTGTTCTCTTATTCGCTCTTCCTTCTTCCATCTCAGGAACATTGCTAAGCTGAGTCCCATTCTGTCCCACTCTTTTCTTGAGACAGTTATCCACAACTTCATCTCCTCACGCTTAGACTACTGTAACTTTCTTTTCACGTGTCTGAGCAGAACCTCCCTGAACCGTCTACAGGTGGTTCAGAATGCCTGTGCTCGGCTTCTGACCAAGTCCTCCAAATACACCCACATCACCCCGCTTCTCCTCCAGCTTCACTGCTGCCAGTCAACTTCAGGGTTCATTTCAAGATCCTGGTTCTGGTCTATAGGGCCTTACATGGACAAGCACCATCTTACATTGGTGATCTTCTTAGTCCCTACACCCCCAGCAGGTCCCTGAGGTCCAGTGATCAAAGCCTACTGGTTGTGCAGCACACCAGGCTAAAGACCAAAGGTGACAGATCATTTGCTGCTGTGGCCCCCCAGACTCTGGAACTCTCTCCCCCTGAGCCTGAGATCAGTGGGCTCAGTGGTCTCCTTTAAAAAGCAGCTGAAGACTCACTTGATCAAGCTGGCTTTTGTATGACCTTCTTCACCACTCTCTCTTTATTCTGCTCTCCCCACCTATTCCACCTTCCTCAGGTATCCACTGATTTCCCTCTTTCCTATTCACTCTCTCTCTTTTCTTACATTTTTTTAATCACAATTGTCTATTTTTTGCTCATTTTAAATATATTTTTAACCATTTTCTAAATTCTTTTTTATATTTTTACATTTTTAGTTTTGTGAAGCGCCTTGTGATTTTTATCTTGAGAGGCCGCTATAGAAATGATACTTTCTTCTTCTTCTTCTTCTTCTTCTTCTTCTTCTTCTTCTCTTCTTCTTCTTCTTCTTCTTCTTCTTTTCTTCTTCTTCTTCTTCTTC